GTCATAAACTAAAAATTTAGGGGGCGCTGAGAACAAAAAAACCAAAAGATAAACTAATAGCTGAATTAAATCATATGGAAGTAAACTCTTTTGAAGAATTGCAGAAGAAAATTAAAAAAACGCTATCAGAAAGCACAACAACTAAAATAAAAAAATTTGCTTCATCAGAAAAAGAAGGATGGATGACGTATAGTATATACTCAAAAATCAAACAAAGAAATACCTGGTACACTAAAATGGTCAAAAATAGGGATTCAATTTACTGTAAACAAAAATTCAAGGAACATGATAAAGACACAAAAAAAGTATTAAAATGGCAAAGGGAAATTTCTATAAAAATCAAATAAAGAGTGCAGAAGGAAATAATAAAAAACTGTGGACTATTATTAAAAATCTAGAAAACGGAGAAACACTTAAGGCAAATGACATCAAAGAACTAACAACTGAAAGTGGAAATAATACCTCGAGTAAAAAACAAATAGCGACAACTTTAAATAACTATTTTATTAATGTAGGTGAGAACCTCGCTAAGAAAATAAAAGGAGAATATCTTGGAAAGGATGAAAAAAAGTACGCGGCCACATCATCCATGTATATGCAACCGACAACATATAATGAGGTAATAAGAACGATCAACAAACTTAAATCAAACTCCGCAGCAGGTTATGATAATATCAAACCAACACTAATAAAAGAACTAAAAAACATTATTGCACCAATCATAACAAAATTAATAAACAACTATTTTAAACTAGGAGTTTTCCCGGAAGAATTAAAAATTGCTAGAATCACACCTGTTCACAAATCTGGTAAAGAAACGGATCCCAGCAACTATCGACCAATCGCAAATTTAACTGTATTTAGCAAAATATTTGAAACAATACTACACAATAGACTGGCAACGCACATACAAAATTTAAACATACTTTCAAAGGCACAGCATGGTTTCCAGAAGCAAAAAAGCACCAAAACAGCTATGGCAAATCTATTAAATTTCATACAAACTAAAATGGATGAAGGAAAATGTGTAACTGCTCTTATATTAGACTTTAAAAAGGCGTTTGACACAGTAGAACCGTCAATATTAATAAAAAAATTAAAACAAATGGGAGTGGCAGGGAAAGCGCTTGAACTGTTCAGATCTTGTATAACAAATAGAAAGCAGTACACAAAGGTTGGAAGTGAAGTCAGTGAATGGGAAAATATAAATTTTGGGGTACCCCAAGGATCCATTTTGGGTCCTTACCTATACTTATTATAAATAAATGACCTGGATCTGTACAATTTTTCTGGTAAAATAATGATATATGCGGATGATACTGCGTTTTTCTATGTAAATAATGACAACAAAACAACGCAAGAACAAATTCAAAATGACATTAACAAACTACTTAAATGGACAAACACAAACAAATTAACGATAAACAGCAAAAAATGTTATCTGATACATTTTGAAAACAAAATAAAAAACCATAACCTAAATATAAAAATCGGAAATGATGCTATTAGCGAAGAAACAAAAATTAAATACTTAGGTCTTATTCTTGACAAAAATTTAAAGTGGACATCACACATAAGAGCTCAAAACAAAAAAATGGCATATTATAATGGACTAGCGCATAAGGTAGCTGATGTACTGCAGAAAAAGGAAAGGAAACTGATATATGAAGCCTATATTAAAAGCAAGCTGACTTACTTAATATCATTCTGGGCAACAGGAAACAAAAAAGATTTAGACAAATTGCAAAGAAGCCAAAATAAACTATTAAAAGCTTTGCACAGACTACCAAGGCATACTGCAACAACTGAAGTATACCGTAAAACAAAAACCTTAACAATAGAAGAACTTAGAAAGCTGGAGACCATAAAATTGGTAAGAAAAATTTTAAACAAACAAATCCAAGATGAAGATATAGAAATAACAACAAGAGCCGACGTACATCAATACAGCACCAGAGGAAATCAAGAACTAAATTTTGTCACACATAAAACCAAAATAGGCGAAAAACGAATACTTACAGAAGGCATCAAAATATACAACAAATTACCAAACGAGATCAAACAGCAAAATGAAACAGAGTTTGTTAAGAGTGTCAAGCAATATTTAGTGGACCAAAGACAAGAAGACCCATGTATAATTTAATTATTTATTGCTAAATGTTAATTTTAAATCTATTTGTAAATTACATATCTGTCAAAGCCCATTTCGGCTATTTGGATATTACTTTTCAATAAAAAAAAAAAAAAAAGTTGGTAAATAACGGACACCCTAATCCACAGTCGCTTTATCAACAAGTGCCACACACAGGAAGCTCCGTAATTAAAGTGTTTATCCAAAGAATTAAAGGGAGATACCGAAAATGTAACAAAAATGTCGATAATCAAGAAGCAAAAAATCTTGCCATAAATGAGGCCTGTCATAGCAAAACCGACAATCTCCACTTTTGGTCAAAAATTAGATTTTTGGCGAAGACTGTACTTCAACTAATTATCTATAAGATGATAAAGTTTATGTGCTGCAAAAAGAGCTAAATCCTGCCTAAAATCCTATTTTAAAAATGACATTTAGTGCAAGTCGACAATCTCCACTGATTTGCAGCAAAGTATACAATCTCCAATGGGGTAGTTAAATTTTTTCTGACCTATACTTTTTATGGTTTTATTCAAGGCGTTTTGTAATTTTAAACATTTTTGTGAAATCGGAATTTCAATTGAGTTTACCGTTTTCGAGATATTTACAAAAAAAAATCTCCTAATTACGTCACTAGGCTATTGCCAACGTTGCCAGCTTTTTCTATGGTGTTTAGTTTAAGATTCTTACGATAGATGGCGCCACGTTATAATATTTTAGTTTTAAAACTACTAGATCTAAAATTTTACTTGAGAAGAAGAAGAATTGATTTTTTGACGTTTCTTTTTTTCGGGTTATGTTTTTTTTTTAATTTAGATTATTGAAAATAAATGTTATTGTTATGTTATTTGTAATTGATATTAGATAACTGATTTATTAATAACGGACTCCAAAGCAGAGGAATCTTGTGGAATGGTTGGTTACATTGAACATTGGAGCTTTTAAACAAATAAAGTAAGTACCTATAATTATAATCATATTTTGCCGTAAATGCATTTCATTAGTATTCTTTATATTCTTTTAGATATATCTTGGACTCTAAAATATCAAACAGTAATATGATACCTCGTAATAAGGAAGATAGGTACTTAATGAATTTGGTGACCATCTGTTTGAATAATTTTAATCAAAATGTCTATTTGTAAACCCTGCACTATCTTTACCTACTATGTACGTTATTGCAGCAATATTTAAACCAGAATTGTCGAAAAGTACAAAAATGTACTCTAGAGCTTAGTATCTTCGAACACTCCAAAAGTTTGTTATACATTTTTTTAATCTTACAAAAGGTTTTGATGCTCATCATCAGGGATGCAAGTTTTATAAAAACTATACACAAATATCATAAATACCATTGTTAACTTACATTTACTGTTATTTTTTGTAAATTTATTTCATTCATTTTCAGCTTTATTTTGCCACTTTTTTCTATGAAATATATTAAACTCTGCTTTAGACAGTTATTAGGTACCTATTTATTACATTTTATTAGGTTTCACACGGTGTTTCAATGTGTAAACCTATCAATAAAACTTTTAATTTCAGAATTTTCTTTAACCTCCTCTTCTTCTTCTTTCACTCAACTGACAGTGACAGTATTTGTACATAACCTCTTCGGGTATTTTCTGACATAACCGAATGAAATCATTAACAAGACAACTTGACAACAGGGTAATTTTCAACCAATAGAAATCTTAGAATGTTGGTCACATGGCGGGGTTTGTGACGTCATAAAAATTTATATTTTTTGTAAATATCTCGAAAACGGTAAACTCAATTGAAATTCTGATTTCACAGAAATGTTTAATATTACAAAACGCCTTGAATAAAACCATAAAAAGTATAGGTCAGAAAAAATTTAACTACCCCATTCCACCATTAGAAATTAGTAATTTGTGTCACCTGATAAACATAACATTTGATGTTATAACGTATTTTAGAGATTTAATTTTGTGTTTTTTTACTGGTACATACTGTTAAGTTCTTTTGCAGTAAATTGCACTTAAAAATATATTTAAAATAGGTATATATACGTTTTATTGTTTTAAGAATTATAAAAAAAGTCATCTGGTTTATTTTGTGCTATTATACCATAATAAGACGTAAAGGTAAAGCAAGAAAAGGCTGATAATGTCAAAACATTGCAAGTAAAACATTATGGGGCAAAGTGGGAAGAAGATAATGAGTTGTTGTACTATAAAAACTTTTTTGCACGAGGCAACCTGGTCCCAGATTTAGAAGAAACTCCAGATTTAGGTGGTCCAGTTCAGAATTTTCCCACATTGATTGTATAGTTAAATTTTATACCCATTAAAGGAATAAAAAAACAATTATTTTTTGGTTTATATTTCCAAATCTCCTTAAACGTTTATAACAAAATGAGCAATCTCCAGCAATTCATATCAAAGTCAGCAATCTCCAATTTATAATTATAGATTTCACCTATACTATGCATCCTGGAGACCTTGTAGTTGGCTACTAGACTAACAACAATATTTCAATATAAAATATAAAAAAAATACAAATCTAGAATTTAAAATATCAAAATCAATTATCTCAATTTACTCAGTTTTAGTCTGATGGGAGATTGTTGACTTTGCTCTGACAGGCCTCAAATAGTGGATATTAGACATGAACGAAACACATTGACATCTGGCATCATTTCATTAGAGAGAAACTTCAGGACAATCCAGTGAATTGTAATATTCGTATTTGGTGCTTGCCAATGCAACCATAGACATATTTATTTGTCCAAGGATACAAACAATAAAAAAATTGTGTTGTCTTTATTACTTAATATTGCAGAATCAGCAGTATTGTGCAGCGGCATTTATTGTTAAAGAAAAAAAAACTAACAATTACCACTTACTTTAAGTTCAATAGTTTCTTGATCTATTAAATTGGTGACATGGTAGGGAGCTGTAAGAAGACTCTTGGACTTTCTATCGCAGATGTAAGTCCACCAGTACTCCTGCTTGTCATGTGGAAATAGAGGGCAATGAACCGGGTGCGAAGTTTTAGATCTTCCTTCCAATGCCTTTTCTCTTGCATGCATCCTTCTTAATTTCTCCCATTCTTGGTCCTCATCTTCGTTATTTGATTTTTGCACGCTGTCGTCGTCAGACGAATCCGCAAATTTTTCATTAGCATCGCCGCCTCCGTTAGTTTCGACGTCGCTCTTTTCCGATTCAGTGTCGCTCTCGTCATCTTCTTTGCATTCCTTTTTTTCCTTTGGTCTTGGTTCTTTCTTCTCAGCTGGAGAAGATGGTACAGAGGATTCTTCCGATTTTGATTTGACCATTTTGGGTTTGATCAGTAGCTGCTTCTTTTTTTTACCACCACCTAAATAATAATAAAATTTAAATTTAATTTAATTCAAACTTAATCAAACTTAATAATTACAGCGTCCCAAACGCAAGAACATACTGTCGAGAATGGGATTAAAAAAAAATCGGTCTCAAAAAAAAACTTATCTACAATATTTAGTAATAAAGGACAAAAGATCCTTTATATTGTTTTTAACAAGTTAAAAAGTTATCTTTTGTCCTTTATTACTTGGTCATTGGATTTTTGTTTACAAGTTTTAACAAACATTTTTTAAAAAACAATAAAAAATAATTTATCTAGTTTACGAAATTAAATTAATGGAATTTTCTTTAAAAAAATATTTATAAATTTTGACACATACGTCAGATTTTATGAATTGTCAAATAGTTTCCTTTAATTCGAGAAATAATCTAGACGTATATCACTCAACCTATAAATTTAATCTGTCAAACTATGCTCAGTAATTACTGAGCATATTGGATTTTTGTTTACGATTTTATGGTGTTATTTACAAGTTTTAACAAACATTTTTTAAAAAACAATAAAAAATAAGTTATCTAGTTTACGAAATATCAATTATTACTTATTACATACCTTAAATTAATGGAATTTTCTTTAAAAAAATATTTATAAATTTTGACACATACGTCAGATTTTATGAATTGTCAAATAGTTTCCTTTAATTCGAGAAATAATCTAGACGTATATCACTCAACCTATAAATTTAATCTGTCAAACTATGCTCAGTAATTACTGAGCATATATATGATTAAATCGAATGTCATTTGATGATGAAATCAAATGTCATTTGAATTTAGGAAGTGTCTACTGTTTGTTGCGACGGTTATTATATATTTGCCTGTCGCGGCGATTTTTTAATCTAATTAATAAAATTAACTTATTATTTTTATTAAACAACATTTTATGAAAGGGTCCAATCGACCTCCGCGACGGTGCTTTTTTTATATATTATTTAGTTGCTGCTGAGGAGCAGTAGACACATCTTAAAATGTATAATGGGTTGCATACAATACTCGTATTAAATCGGCAGTAAAGTTCTACTTTACTGCCGATTTCTTTTACTTTACTGCCGATTGTTGACTACTTTACTGCCGATTTCGGATAAACTTTATTTTTTTGTACAGCCAATTCCATTGGAAAGCATTTAATCTTTTGAAGCTAATAGTCAAGTTGACAAACAATAAATTTAAAGTCTTTCTTCGGAAAATCTGGGTAAAATGAACTCAAAATGGATTAATAAATTGAATTTTACCGCATTTTCTTTTAAAATATATATACTCGAGCGAACTCGAGTGAACCCGATCGCCCCTCCCCAAATGCGAATTGCCGTAGGCGACGATTCAGTTATGTTTTGCATTTGCTAGTGTGTATGTCGAGCGTTTGAACAAAAAATATTTAAAATTATAAGTCCTACACATTGCAAGAAAAAATTCTCAGTTAAATATCCGGAAAATCCGTCAATTAGAAGAATAGAATAGAATAAATTATTGAAAGGGTGTGTTCAAATAATAAGTTATTATTTTTATTAATTAAATAATTTATTTATTTACATTTATTTAAAGAAGTTTGGTTTTTAGTTTTGTTTTAAGAGAATTGTATGAGTATGAGTATGAGTATAAGAGACGTATAACCAGCCCCATTTCCTCTTGACTCTCGAACCCCGTACAGGCCTATGTTTACTTACGCCGATTTTTGTTCTTCCCCAGCAACTTCACGGCTTCACCCGTGTTTGCTGGGTGCGAATGTCCATTGCGTTCCGTACTGTCCCCTATTTGGAGCTCGAGAGCGAGAGGCGAATAGTTATAATAGCCATTCCCGGGTTCGCCGAGCCTATGCTATACGCTCAGTGGGGTATGGAGAAGGGACGGGAGGGTGTTGGTTTTTGGGGGACAATTACGCCGACTTAAAACTAAGTACGACGCGGAATCCCCCTAGACCAGTCGATTAATATTACTCCAAACATTTGGGATTACTATTTGGAGTTGGGGAGTTGTTATTACGCTGCAGGGTGTAGTTTCCTAGTCGAGGTCTTCGTCTTGTTCATTATTGTCATTATCCGTGTCGGATAGTTCCTGAACTTGGTAAAGTGTGTCGGTTGTTTTTTTTTATTTTGTTTTTATTGTTGCTTAGTTGCTCCCAACTGTTCTTGTTAATTTGTGAGAAGTGCGTTTTGTGCTAACGTGTCATGAAATGTGAAGCATGGTCTCCCGACTTTTTTGACTTTAAGGTCTAGTTTAAGGGTGGCTTGTAGTATGTTGTTGCGTTGTCTACGTCTGAGGCGGCTAGTATTGTTTCCAGTCCGGCCCAGAAGCCGTAATTACCGTGGTCGTTTAGGTACGCATTAGCGAACCTATCTCCGTGTTGAACAGCAATCGCTGCGGTTAGGCAGCTGCCAGAGGGGGGTATTCTTTTTACTATTAGTATAAGTCTAATGTGTTTACAAATTCCATGGAGCTTTTTTTTTACTTTGTTTATGTTTTCTTAGTTTATGTGTCTTTTATGTCTTAAGTGTCAAATTTATTAGGTCTCGGTTTGTTTTACTTGAATTGTTATGTTGACAGCTTTATTGCCCTGTTCAACTTTGGTGTGTGTCCGCGATCGGCTGTTTGGTTTTTTCTTGGAAAATTGACTTTTTATTTTTGTTGCCGATGATTATTGTTTTTTTAGTAGGGATTAGGCAATGTGCCTTGTTTAGTTTAATTTGCTTATTATGTGTTAGGTCATGCGGATGTTTTGAGGATACTTAGCAAATATTTGCAGGTGGCCTGTTCCTCCCTTGTATGGCCTCTTTTGTTTGGCCAGTGGAAATCGTCCTGTTGACAGATGGTGCGACCGCTCAGGCACTGACACTTGTCACTTAACTCATTCTTGTCACTTAACACTCTTTGACCGTTTCACTATGTTCGTTTGCACTTGTCACTTCTCTCTTCCTTTTCACTTGGCCCTTAACTAATTATTGACCGTAGAGTAGTGTGTACTCACTGTATTTTTTACACTATAGTTGTTTGCAGGGTTTATTTGTTGGTTATGGTTTTAACGTTTTACGTTTATTCTCCGATTCTGCTACATCGACTTACTCACTCGACGGCTGGGACGAGACTGGTTTTGTTTTAAGAGAATTGATTTATTTATTTTAATTTGTTTTCAAGAGGACTATATTACTTTTTTATTGTGTGAGAAAACACTTTTAGTTAAATGCAAAACAAATAATGATTTTACACCTTTAATTAATAGTTTACTGTGATTAGTTTACATTTTAAGTATCTGAATCATTTTTTTTTAAGTAAATTAACTTAATAATGCGTAATTCGTCTTAATAATCCAGAGCAAACTTAGACTATCACCCAACGCTGGTGAAGGGTATACTGACGAATTACGGCTTTCGCCTCGGCATATAATTTCCACATTCGTGATAAAAAATACGACTTCACTTGCCACTTTTTACACAGAAACGTCACTTTTCGAGTTTTGCCTTGCAAATGAAAATATTAATTTTCTTAGCAATATGGACAATTGACATTATAGAAAAATAAATATTAATAAATTAAACATACTACTTGATAAAAACGTTACATTTTTGCTTTGATTCTTTTAATCAAATTATTATGTATCTCATTCTTGTAACTATGTGTTTTTAGGTCCAAACGCAGAGAGTAATGATACGAACTTAAACTTAAACGTTCTTAAACCTAGTTTCATATTAGTACATGATTTAAGGACACCTGGTATAAGTAAATACGAAAGAGAGGGAGGCAAACTAAAAATTACCTTTCTTCTGCTTCATCCAAACAGGTCGCTTGGCTGCTGCATCGGCATCATTAATTTCTTTATCTTTTACTTCTTCTTCGTTATTTTCCACAAAAGTTGGAGTGGCATCTCCAAACAACTCGGACATGTTTCTTCTTTTCAGTTCAACTGTTACAGTAACAATAGCATCAGCAGTAACTTCACTGGGATTTTCATCATCCATGACTAAAATATTAGCAATACATATGCAATCTTTGGTTGGGTTTATTAAAGACTTACCTTCACATTTTACATTAAAATCAACATAGGGCATTTTTCCTAAAACTTTCATCACATCTTCATACTGTTCATCACTTAATGATCTCAATAGACTTTTCCTATCATCGCCACTCATTTGGGCATATTGCAATAAAGTTTTGACTTGTCGCTTTCTAGATATAAAATGTTTGAGGTTGTCTTCGTTTATGTGTGGCAGTTGTAAAAGTGGAGACTTGAATTCCAATAGCCCCTGCACAATCATTGGGCACAATTTCATGCAGTTTTCTATTGTCTCAATAGAGGGTAGTCTTTGAACTGAAATAATAATTAATTAATTAGAAATAATAAAACTATTTCACTTCTTACTCCTCCTTGCATACGCCAGCATAATAAGTTGATTAACACAATTGACTTGCTCTTGAATTAAATAGGGACATTTTCCAATCACATAACGTCTGTCTATTTCCAATGTGTTTGGATTTAATGGAATACGAGATAAATGAGCATGAATAAGAGCTCTAGCTTTTATACTGTACATATAACACAATGGTCTTTCTTTATTTTTTTCATTTAGTTTATCTAATTTTTTAATTAACTGTGGAACCTCCTCATTATCTGATTGTCTTTCAACTATTTCTGAATTATTTTTCTTATCAAATTCTAAACTGGCTGCCAAAATCATTACAACACGTTTTAATGGAACATTAGATGTCTTGTGAAAGAAATAATAATACATTTGTGTGGTCTCCAGTAATACTTGGTCACCAGTAAACTTTATACTGCGATACCACCAGGTCCCCACCTTAAAAAGATTAGTTTATTCGTATTATTGTAGTATTATTGGTAATTATTGGTAATTTATTAGTAATAAAATACAAATAGTATTTTTACAGGTCAAATACAATAAATATAAAATGCTAACAAAAACATTACGGATTAAAATTCGATTTGAAGTGAGAAAAAGGCATTCAGAATAAGGTAGTATAATAATTTAATTTTTATGGAATTTTAAACTATTCAAAGAAAACATATTTCTATTTATAACTTTATTTAATTTAAAAAAACACAAATTTAACAGTACAGCAAATTAAAATCAAAACTTAAAAATATTATATATTTTTTAATTTACTTTAGGATAACTAACTCTTCAAAATGTTTATCCGAAGGAGCTTGCCTTCTGGGGCTTTTTTTATTATTTCAGCAAAAGAAAACCGCCTTTTACTTGAAGCCGAGGACGGTAAACATGTATTAAATCTAAAGATAAGTTTTTTATAACCATATATACATTTAACGATTCAAATTCTAATGATGGAACGTTAATTAATCTTAAGATATATCTATCGTTCTTCATGTAAGGAAATTTTACCTTAACTTTGAGAAACGATAACTATTAGTACCAAAACGAGTAACAAAATCTTGGTAGAGATTTCAGCGGAAACAAAATTGCTATCTAAACTGCAGAAAAAGTTATTGAGTAACGAAACTATCGTATTTTAATTTGAAATACATAAACTCGAGTGAAACTGAGTGAACCCGATCACTCCTCCCCAGATGCATTGTAAGCGGATTGCCGTAGGCGACGATTCAGTTATGTTTTGCATTTGCTAGTGTGTATTTCGAGCGAGTTTTAATGTCCTACACATTGCAAGAGAAAATTAACATGATAAGCTGGTCTTTAGTAGGCAATTCTCTACGTCAAACAATTGTTAAGAGACCTATTTTCAGTTAAATATCCGGATCGTTATATTTCGTCAATTAGAACAATAACAAACGTTATACAAGGGTTTAAAACAAATGGTTGTATTTTGGGGTGTAAATGTCACAGTACTCCCAGAATTGATGTAGATGCGAAGATGAAAAAAATAATGGTTTGTGAATGGTAGAAGATTCAAATACCTACATCGATTTCCAAAATAGCCGAAGAGACCGGCATTAGTGTGGGCAAAGTACACAAAACATTAAAAAAATAAATATCGTTCCTATAAATACCAAGTACATCAAGAAATTTTTCAAAATATGATGGAACACGCAAATGTCGATGAACATCCCTGTTTTAAATGACCGATTAATTCTTTATAGAAACCAATTGAAGTATCGGTTTAGTATAGGTTTGAATTGGGAGGGATATAAAACAGAAATTGGTTTTTACTGGTATTTTCCATGATGGAAAAATCCGATTAAGATTCTACTGTTTTTTAGTGGTTTCGATTGGTTAAAGCTACCCATAGGTAAGGGGCCGTCCATAAATGATGTCACAAGTTTTTTCTTAATTTGACATAAATATTATTATATTGATTTCGACCATGCCTACAAACATCCTTTGCAAGAAAGACAAAAAATGATTATAACTGAGTAATTTTATTTTTTATTACTATTTTGTGTTAGTAACCCGGACAACAATCGGGATTTCCTGGTGAAATCATGATGATATCACAACGTGATTTTTTTTGTCACGCCGTGATATCCTGAGTGCATACACATGCATCATCACAGTGATATCATGTAGAACTCACGGTGTGATTTTTGCAAAATTTGCGCATGCGTAATAGCCCTGCGAACTGCGAATTTAAAACCTATAGTTTGTTACCTGTTGATTCAACATAACTTTTCTCTTAGTGTACGAACGTGGCGCAAAAATCATTATCAAAACACCGTTGGCATAAATGCTATCGGTGTTTGGGCATAAAAAATCACGACATGATTTTTTATGCCATCGGACATGTTAGGATATTTATTTTTGCGCCACATTCGTACATTGTGAGAAAAAGTATGTTAACAATTGAATTAACAGTTTTTGCGGTTAAATACATTTAATATTTTTTTGAATGTAAATTAACTATTAATTTAAATCCAAAAAAATATTGAATGTTTTTATTTAACCACAAAAACTGTTGATTCAATATATATGTAGGTATTCTTTTTCTCTCAATGTACGAATGTGGCGCAAAAATAAATATCCAAACACCGATGGCATAAAAAATCACAACATGATTTTTTATGCTATCGTTGCTTGGGCATAAAAAATCACGACATGATTTTTTATGCCATCGGACATCTTTGGATATTTATTTTTGCGCCACATTCGTACAGTGTGAGAAAAAGTATGTTAACAATTGAATTAACAGTTTTTGCGGTTAAATACATTTAATATTTTTTTGAATGTAAATTAACTATTAATTTAAATCCAAAAAAATATTGAATGTTTTAATTTAACCACAAAAACTGTTGATTCAATATATATGTAGGTATTCTTTTTCTCTCTCTCTTTTATGCTATCGGTGTTTGGGCATAAAAAATCACGACATGATTTTTTTATGCCATCGGTGCCCGCATCTTTGGATATTTATTTTTGCACCACATTCGTACATTGAAAGAAAAAGTATGTTAACAATTGAATAACAGTTTTTGCGGTTAAATACATTTAATATTTTCTTAAATGTAATTTAACTATTAATTTAAATTCAAAAAAATATTGAATGTTTTTATTTAACCACAAAAACTGTTGATTCAATATATATGTAGGTATTCTTTTTCTCTCAATGTACGAATGTGGCGCAAAAATAAACGTCCAAACACCGATGGCATAAAAAATCACGACATGTATTTTTATGCCATCGGTGTTTGGTCATAAAAAATCACGACATGATTTTTTATGCCATCGGTGTTTGGATATTCATTTTTGCGACACATTCGTACATTGAAAGAAAAAGTATGTTAACAATTAAATTAACAGTTTAACATTCAATATTTTCTTGGATTTAAATTAAATATATATAGTTAATTTAAATCCAAGAAAATATTAAATGTATTTAACCGCAAAAACTGTTGATTCAACATAATTTTTCTCTTAGTGTACGAACGTGGCGCAAAAATGATTATCCAAACACTGTTGGCATAAAAAATCACGACATGATTTTTTGTGCCATCGGTCAATCGCAAACAGCGATGGCATAAAAAATCACGACATGATTTTTATTTCTCACGCTGTGACATCCGGATGATGTCCGTATGAATAAAATTTGTGAAAATCACGTCGTGACGTTCGTATGATTTTCATTTATCACGCGGTGACTTCCGTATGATATCAGTATGAATAAAATTTGTGAAAATCACGACGTGATGTTCGTATGATTATCACGAATGTTGTCCGGGAAGTTATATGTATCAATACATATCTCACTAACACAAAAAAGTAAGAAAGAAATAAAGTTACTCAGTTATAATTATTTTTTTGTCTCTTCTGTGAAAAATGAATTTTGGTTTTTACCCGGTTATTCTTCTGGGATCTTAATTATTTTTGAATGAAAAATCAACTCTTATTTTTAATCCAAATTGGTTTGAATGGGTTTGGCGCTATGAATTACCAATTCATTCCAGGTGCATTTCTATTGGATTTAGCCAATAGAGACAAGCATAGGCATGGATTGGTATATACCAATTTAAGCCGCTGACTTCATTGGAACTTACCAATAGGAATGCAACTGGAATGGTGATTTATAGCGACAAAACAAATTTCAAACAAATTCCTTTTTTTTTTATTGGATTCTATCGGTCATTTACAATAGGGATTTCATTGAAAACATAGCATTTACCGACGAATCCACATTTCCATTACATGGAAAGCACAATGCTGCTATTGTCCGAAATTGAAAATGAGTACAGGCAACTAAAGTTAAAGACTCAGTATCCTGAAAAGTTGAATGTGTGGTCTGGTATTTATGGGAATAATATTATTGGTCCCTTTGTAATTGGTGTTATTTGAATCTTCTTCAAAATATAATTATTCCTGCAATCCAACACATAACCCTAAATTTGGATAAGGTTTGGTATCAACAGGACGGTTGCCCACCACATAACACAAAAATGGTGATGGAATATTTACAAGAGATTTTTCTCCAAAGGATCATTTCTACCAGGGGCGGTATTAGCTGGCCAGCAAGGTGGCCAGACTTGGCTCCTAACGATTTTTTCTTACGGGGATATGTGAAATCAACCTTGTAACGTCAGGAAAAAATAAATAATTAGAGGCAAGAAAGCGTTTAAGACAATTACTCCAGATTTGCTAGCTAATGTTCGGACCGAATTTTACAATTTGGAGGAACGTTTGAAAATAAGCTTTGAATAAATTATTGAAAGCTTGCGTTCAAATAATTATTTTTATTAATTAATTAATTTTTTTATTTATTATTTTAAGAAGTTTGATTTTTAGTTTTGTTTTAAGAGATTTGATTTATTTCATTTTAGTTTTTAAAGAGAATTTTTTGTTTTAATTTGGTCCAATACAAAACTCCTCCTTCGTCGCTCGTTTTATAAATTGTTCGCGTGCTACAAACGGTCTTATGACATGAGTTCTTTATGGTATTTTATCTATTTTGCAAAAATTCTATAAAAAAAAATAATTTTATACCTTACATTTAATTTGGTCGAATTTACTTTAGATAGTTGGTACCACAGTCATTGGTTTGACAGTTAATGTCAAAATCGATTCGCCATGCCGTTCTTAATTTACTTATTAACAATAAGCGGTTGTTAATGTTAAAGAAGAAAAAAGGATTTTCTTTGATGTTAAACAAAATTTATTGCCAGAAAAGTCTCGTAAGTACTAAAAAAATCATCGATCATCGATAACTATCGGTAGTAATCGATAGTTTTCCTATCCAGGATGTAATCTTAGAGTGTTAAATCACAGTACTTACTTATATCCCTTAGGGATAGCCTATCCCTAAGGGATATAAGTAAGTACTGTGATTTAACACTCTAAGATTACAGCCCGGATAGGAAAACTATCGATTACTACCGATAGTTATCGATAAGCCATAGAACGAGCAGAATAGGTAATTGATATTTTCAAGCTTGACTTCCAAGAACTTTATTATTTGTATTTTTTGTTTCCGCCATTACTTCTTCACAATATTGCTTCTTAGATTATTTTTGGTAATGTTTTATTTTGGTTACGTTTGGTTATATACATATTTAGTTATATTTATATAATTAAGGTACCTTTTAAAATTATACTGCTTTGTTACCTTTACTTAAAAATTGTATTTTATAAAGGTATATTGTATGTATTTATATAATTATAAAGTACGTTTTAAGATTATACTACATTAATATCTTCACTTTTTTAATTTAATATATTTTTTAAACTAGTTTATTAATAATTTTGCGATACGATGAAATTTGGGTACACTTTCTATACAATAAATTGAACAAATATTCAAACAATTTTAAAAGTCAATATTGACTACACGCCCCTGCTTTTCCAAACACGTCAACTGAGCATAGGGCGTTCTCACCAAGTTATAACGCGCGGACTGTATATTGATAGTAACTATTATATATAACTGTTATCAATACTTTTTGGTAACTATCAATAAATATTGATAGTTTTTCTTACCAAATTTTCCCATCCCTAATATCCCTAGCACCCTGTATGTTTACTTACCACAATGGGCAAGGCTACCATAAACACTAAAGCATATAATCCCAATACCCAAACACTGTTTTCCTTTTCAACAATCCATGAGGGCAAAGCAATACCAAAACTTGTAGCCCCTGGTCCATCTGGATTCCCATACTTTTCCCAATTCTTTCTGGCTTCTTCATCTGTTAATGCCTATAAAAAAAGAATTAAATCCATATTCAATGAAATGTAAAACTGGGTAGGTACCCTATAAGCCATTGATAACTTCATAAACTCCTTCTCATTTCCAGTATCCTTATCAGGATGCAGAATTAGCGAGAGCCTTCTATAAGCCTTTTTAATATCAGATGAACTAGCACCCATTCCTATTCCCAAAATCTCATATGGATCAAAATTAGACATTTCATAGTCAAATTGAGATACTTTATATGCTAATAAAATTAAAACTACCCATCCTCCAACTATTAAAAGTTTTATTAAAAAAGTCTTGGGCCCTTTCCAGGGCTCTGAGTTCTTTAAATGTTCTCTTTTGATGATACACCCTGTGCACTGACATTTTTTGCTTTCTTCCTCAGGATCTTCAAACAAAAAATAAACATATTAAAATCAATACACAAACCTTTAAGATATACTGATAAAACAAGGAGTTATATCGTTAAATTGGTGTAAACCATAAAAAAACATGTAAACCTAACCTCTCTTCTTCTTTTTCGGCCAATAATATATTGTAGCTGGAATTAATATTAATGCTAAAAATGAAAGTAAAAAATAAAAAAATGTTCCGCCACTTTCATCATATTGGAATTTTTGTCCCATTTTTATTATCCAGCTTTTAATTTAACCAACGTGTCAAAACTTCATGACAGCCTTATAACAAATTGATGACAGCTCTTTAATGTGGAATAGATGCGCTGCTGAACGATTTCGTTTATCCACAGCACAGTTTTAAAAACGGTACTTTGGTCCCCTTAAAATTTGACCCTAATTTTACGAATTGTTCTTATTACATTATTTACATTCAATAAATTTTTTAAAACAAGATCATTAAAAAAATACAAACCCCGGCAAAAATCGGTAGGTATTTCAAAGTTTGGATGAAAAATCGGTTATGTTTTTTATACCTACTTGGAATAATAAGATAAAGCTCTTAATAATTATTATATTTGTCGTTTTTAAACTTAAATTATTTATAACATACATATCCAAAAATAAATTTTTATTTAAAATATTTAAACGTCCCGCTACAAATACCTCGGAAATACAAAAGCGCCACCAACAGTAGCCGACAGGTATTAAATCTAGTCATTTCCTTTTATATGGCGGACGTTGTGTTCGCTTCATGTGTGTTTAACAGAAAGTTTTAGAATAAGAAAACATAAACATGGTAAGCCTAATAAAGCTTTAATTTTTACATATATATGTGGTAGACCTTACTTATTGTAATATTATATCTTTAAACTGGATTATTGGTATTTATTACACGATAAATAAGGGTATAAAAGTTGACCACGTGTGTCACAACGAATTTGAGTTCATATGCTACATTTAATATTTAATTATTATTTAGTTTATTAAATTTTTTAACAATGTAATGTATATTTCTTTAGTATTTCACCAGAAATAATTTGTTACATGCAAAATCGTGATGTGTATGATGATTTGCTTTTGGTCCGTGTTTCTGAAGCATAGTGATTATTTTCTCAAAAGCGCTGATAATACCTAAATAATGCTAATATTAATTTTTATTTTTATTAATTGGACTAAACATATTTTTCCCATTATTTTTAGTCGCTAGCGACAGCGCGCCCCTTGGTGAGCATTTACGATGAGAAATCGGAAGAGGTTAAGGGCAAGAACATTTCTTTGCCAGTTGTTTTCAAGGCCCCAATCAGACCTGATGTAGTTAACTTTGTACATCAACAAATTTCGATGAACCATCGTCAACCCTACAGTGTTAGTGACAAGGCTGGTATGTACTATAAAATTACTAATATTTATTTAAATATGCACATAATTTAATAAAGAGTGTCTATTTGCATATATACATTCACTTCAGGTGCTCTGCAGCATGTGTTAATGTTATCGATTTTGCTAAAATTTTACAAACATTTTTTATATATCAATCAAAAATAAGACCCATAATATACAGCATGTCTCAGATTTGAATAGGGAAAATTAAGTAGTCAATCGAACTTGAAAAAATTGCAAGAAACATTTATTAATTAAAATTTAATAAAACTTGGGTTTTAGTAATGGGTTGTATTTTAATTGCTTAATTTAAATATAATAATAATGTTTATTAATGCTAAATAGCAATATATCAAACTCATAAGAAAGCAGTGGCATGACCATACTTTTTTTATTAAGCCTAGCCACAGTAATTTAAGATAAACAAAATGGTAAACCAGTGAAATTTTAGTTTTTTTACTGATTTCACCATGGTAATGCATTAATATTTACTGACTCAATCAGTGAAATTCAGATTTTACTGTACAACCAGTGTAATCCACAGGAAAATTAGTGAAATTCTACTGATTCAATTTAAAAGAGGATGTAAATTTTAAACCAAAAGCAATTTTCTAATAAAACAGCTAAATCTGACAAGTTTCTTAAGTTTAAAAAAAACCATTAAAGTGAATTTTTTCCACTTCTTGTTTATTATGCTACTGCCTATAAATTTTTTTATTCAAAATTCTAGTAACCTTATTTCATGACCAGCAACGAACTTTGGCGTGTCCTCAATAAAATGTTAAGGTGGATTTAGAGGGTTTTGGAACTAGGCGACTCATTAATTTGAAAATATAATATTTTTGAACACTTTTCGGTTTCTCTGGCTTTAATTTTGTTTTGCATTTATCTAAGAAGAGTGCCGATCTTTTATACTCGTAACCCAGATTGTAGTCTAAATAAAGTTTTAATAGTTTATTCACAAAAACAGTATACCTGCGCTTGGACACGTTTTTTGAGGTAAATTCATGTATATACAGTGTACACCAAGTAGTTGATTTGGTCTTAAAAAAAGTAACTACCTATAATATTTTTGAAATAGCGCTTGATTTTTCAAAAAGCTACCAAAAGCACTTTTTTCATGATTTTTCATATTCATGTGGAGTATGGAATTTTTTTTTTAGAAAATTCTTGTAGAATATTTATTCATTGGTGGTTAAGTCAGAACATTCCGTGGACCAAAAAAGAAAGCCAAAAAAATTTCGATTTTTTTTATTACGGTATTCGTTAGGATTGAGCGTTGCACGTTTTTCATCTAAAAATCTCAAAACTAGAAACTTCAAGCTTCAAATTGCTTTTTTACGGCTCCAATACGACCATTTTTAACGAAGTTACAGCTATCCGAAAAATCGCAAAAAATTTGGAATTTTTTTATCCTTTAATTTTTTCTATTTGTGTAGAAGTTTTACATTGCTATTGGTTTTTTATGTGGAAATTACCAAATAATAAGAAATCACATTTTTTAATCTCTGTCAAAATTTTCAATAATGAAAAATGTAATAAACTGCGCACTTTTGTTTCTTGAACGATTTAATTTGGAATTTTTGTATCCTTTAATTTTTTCTATTTGTGTAGAAGTTTTACATTGCTATTGGTTTTTTATGTGGAAATTACCAAATAATAAGAAAACACATTTTTTAGTCTCTGTCAAAATTTTCAATAATGAAAAATGTAATAAACTGCGCACTTTTGTTTCTTGAACGATTTAATTTTGGTCTGTGATGTCTGCTAACCCCATCCTCTGGCAATTCATGCTATAGATATTAAGCCCACGGTTCTTCAAGTAAATTTCCTACAGGGTATTATGTAAAACGGTGAAAAATTTCAATAACTTCATCCAAGCCCCGTTTGAAAAAAAAATATTTTTTCTCGTTTTAACTTTATTATTAATATACATTTTACTCAAAATTTCATTTTGAAAAATTACTCCATTTTTTAAGATTGATGTTTATTGAATATGCTTTATTGTAGCGGATTTAAAAAAAAACAAATGAAACCGTTTTTTTTTTTGTTTTTTTTTTCACATCTGAAAAAAAAACGTTTTTTACATCTCTAATTTGAATGATAACTAATTAAGGGATAACATCTGCTGAATCATGGGGTACCGGTCGTGCCGTTTCTACGACACTGTGTTCACTCAAACAATTGTAATTATGTGTGAATATAGGTTTTGGTAGTAAATGACTGTTCGCAAAATAGCACCTTTCCAAAACTACCATAGTAGAAGTTATATTAAAAAAACTGATATGATGAGTAACACTTTATCACCCTGTATCTTTTAAACATACGTAATTAGGAAAAATATTTATTTAGGTTTTCGTCGTATTTTAACTTGCTTAATCTTTTCCTAAATTTATGCCAATATTTTTAAGTCTAAAAGTCTAAAATTCTCTACATTTGTATAACTTTGCACATAACAATGTCCACATTCACACAACATCAATTTGTTTAAGAATGTTCCATTAATTGGTAGCTATAGGCGTTCCTTTCTGATTTTATATCGGAAAAGGGCAATGATTACCATACAATTTATTCTAAAGACTTATGTAAAAGATTCTCGTTTTTACTTTGAAATAATGAAGTATTATGTCTTACCTTGAAAAGGTTTTCAAAAATTTCGAATTGGAATCTTAGCAACGAAAATCTGTCTTTTACAAAAGAGTACATTTAAGTTTTTTTGGTAGGCAATACAAAACAAGAAAATAAGATGGTGAAAGATTGTTCCTTGAATAATTCTGAACAAGCGACAAGCAACAAACTTCCATTATTTTCAAAGGGGCCTAAGTAAAAAGACCACTTTTTCAAAATGACATTTTGGTAAAAATTTGCGAAAACTAAACCTTAACCGATATTTACGTTCGTGGCATGTTTTCTTTACAATTTTGACCTCCTGATTGTGATTCAGTTGTCAAATTTAAGTTTTAGATAAAACCAAAATCATCAAGAATCAAAATTAGAAAACAATTTCCGGCTGTTAAATGTCTTAATACAATAAAAAAAATCATATCGTCGTTGCTAAGATTCCAATTCGAAAAACTTGAAAAACGTTTCAAGGTAACACATAATTCTTTATTATATCAAAATAAAGACGAGAAAATAGTTATTTATGTCATTAGGTTAAGAAGTAAGGCTTTTTGTGCTAAGCTCAAAGTTTGAAGGCCGACGCGTAGCGGAGGCCTACAATTGAGCGAAGCACAAAAAGACACTTCTTAGCCGAATGGCATACAACATTTTATCTTCAAAGCACTTTATATAGGTCAATTTAATTCAACATGAAAGCGGCCTAACCTCACTTTTTTAGATTTTCATTTATTTATTAGCTAAAGATTACATTAAATGTACAATAATTATTATTCCTTTTAGAAGCAGTAATAGTTTGACAATACCTAGCTACATGATGTAAGTAGAAATGGGTTTTTGTAAGAAAATGGTTTACTTACCCTCTTGCTATTACATTGAATTCAATTAATTGTTTAATAAATAGGTATCTAATTTCAATTTGTTTGCATTTTTATTTAAAAAATAGGTAGTTTGGAATGTTTACGCTGTGTTTAACATTTAATTTCACTGAAAACTTAAAGCAAATTAAAACTTAAAGATAATTTAAATCGTAGAAAAAGAAAACACAACTGTGAAATCTACAGAAACGTCAAATTGCAATGTCCTAACCTCACTTTTTGTTTTATTATTCATATTTAATTTTACAATAATTTAATGAAAAATAATACACTTTAACAGTAAAACAAACAAATTAGTGCTTATTATAAATAAATTAAACCAGTTTAGTACGTTAATTTCTTAGAAAAGGATTAATTTGTCAAAACAATACCCCTAGCGAGAAAAAATCAAACTAATTACTTGCCTCATAAAAATTTTTATCGGCCTAGGCCATAACAAGTTATTTCTTTATCGAATGTTGACAACAATAAAGTTTAAATTATAGACCGCGTGGAGATAAAAATTATTTTTTTTCAAACGGGGCTTGGATGAAGTTATTGAAATTTTTCACCGTTTAACATATCACCCTGTAGGAAATTTTCTTGACGAACCGTGAGCTTCATATCTATAGCATGAATTGCCAGAGGATGAGGCTAGCAGATATCACAGATCAAAATAAAATCGTTCAAGAAACAAAAAAGTTATGTCGTTTTGAAAAAGAACGAACTTTTTGGTCGCGACACATTGAGTGGTGCACAGTTTATATTCTACATTTCACTTTATTATTATATACATTTTACTCAAAATTTCATTTTGAAAAATTACTCCATTTTTAAGATTGATGTTGTTTATTGAATATGCGTTTTTTTCTAGGTTTTTTTCATGTTTTTTTCACATCTGAAAAAAAACGTTTTTTTACATCTCTAATTTGAATGATAACTAATTAAGGGATATTGGTTTAAGGTCATCAAACATCTGCTGAATCGTGGGGTACCGGTCGTGCCGTCGCCCGTATTCCCCGTGTCCGCGGCGGTGGTACTCACCGTTCCGGGCAGGGTGCTTTCGGTAACATGTGTCGCGGAGGTCGCATGTTCGCCCCGACCAAGCCGTGGCGCCGTTGGCATCGTCGCGTCAACGTCAACCAAAGACGTTACGCTCTCGCTTCGGCCGTGGCCGCTTGCGGCGTGCCCGCCCTCGTCATGAGCAAGGGACACGTCATCGATCAAGTGCCCGAGCTTCCCTTGGTCGTGTCGGATAAGATCCAAGAAATGACCAAGACCAAGCAAGCTGTGCAATTCTTGAGGAGAATCAAGGCCTGGTCTGACATCCAAAAGGTAGGACAAATTTAAATTTTAAATGTTTTCTATATTTTTATTGTTAACATTGTTGTATTCCGTTATTTTCCTTTGTGATTTATTTATTAAATACAGACTGTATAGAATCAAGTAAGTAAGGCTGGAGACAAGGATGACAAATTATATTCTTATCAGAGAAAAAGAAACAAACTTTAATTGGGCCTGGTTTAAACCAAGCCATTCGTAATTACGAACCATAGTTGCCAGGTTGTTTTAAATCAGAAGAGAACGATTATAATTATTTAATAAATAGTTCAATTTTATTTGTTTGAAACTTTAAAAATATCAAAAAAATTAATAATATGTCAAAAATAATTTGATTTAGTTAATTTTCTTACTTTTAATATTAAAAAATAAGAAAAACAACCCTTTTAGGAAACAATAATAGCATATGGCAACAGCGTTTGTTCAGTAGCCCCGACGCTGTCGTAGGGAAATGTGTATAGTTTTTAAGAAATACATTTTTGCCATTAACTGGAATTTAATGGATTTTAAACAATACTTAGTTTTTATTTGCAGAAATGCATTAAAACAAAACAAACGACTTCGATAAAAATAAAACCTATAAATTCTCAAACAAAAATAATTCTAAAATAACGTAAATAACTTTTTTTCTAAATTAAATGTTCAAATAGACCACCAGCAGCAGTTAAACAATACCCTAGCCCATCATAAAAACTCCTGCGCACGTTAAACAGCATTTCAGGACTAATATTCAATTCAATTCCTACCACAGTTGGGGGGGTTTGGCACTTGTTTTATTTAAGTGTATTCGTTTTAATACACACTGTATATAAACCTACACTGTGCGTCAAAACTTTTAAAGTTCTTTTATTTAATAATTAAAAAAACGTTCGAAAAATAACTTTAAGGGATTTTTTTTTTAAGTAAATAAAAATATGTTGTGAAAGACCGTATTTTTGTTAGTATACCCTGAAAATTTTGTACAAATCAAACGAACAGTAACGAAAATACAGCGCTTATGTCGTCCAAAAATAACCACTTTTCAGCAAAATAATAAAAGGGGTCATTTTTACCGACTTTAAAGCGCTGTATCTTCGTTACTGTTCGTTTGATTTGTATACAACATTTTCATGGTATACTAACATAAATACGGTCTTTAACAGCATATTTTTTATTTACTTTAAAAAAAAATCCCTTAAAGTTATTTTTCGAACGTTTTTTTAATTATTAAATAAAAGAACTTTAAAAGTATTTTCTTGAAAAACCCTTGAACACGTAAACTGAGATATAAGTTGAAGTATTTTTATACAAAATTTCATAAAAATTGGTAAAGGCGTTTTAGAGTTAAATTTTTTTACTTATTATGCGTTAATTTTGACGGGCAGTGTAGCTCAAAATTTTTCTGACTGGTTACAAGATTTTCAGGTCGCTCTAAAGTGAGCCACCCTAATATATATCCATCATATTTTAAAGTCTAAAATTCCTTACATTTGTATAACTTTGCACATAACAATGTCCACATTCAAACAAAATCAATTTGTTTAAGAATGTTCCATAAATGTGCTATATTAATTGGTAGCTATAGGCGTTCCTTTCTGATTTTATATCGGAAAAGGGCAATGATTACCATACAATTTATTCTAAAGACTTATGTAAAAGATCGTTTAAAACTAGTGATTGAAGTTTACCGGTAATTTTCATTTGATTTTTCTCAGCGGTAATTTACCGGTAATTTTACGGTAATTTTGGAAATATTTCAGAAAACAAATAATTATACCATGTGGATGGACATTATATAATGTATACGTTTTTGTACATATTTTTAGTATTTTTTACATACTTAAACCATTTATTATATTATTGTTTGTTATAAAAGGAAACCTACATAAAAATATAATGTTTAAACAAATAATATTTATTCAAAAATAAAAAAATATATATATTGTTCTGATTTAGTGCTATACACTAAGTAATAAAGTAAGTACCTACTTGTGAAGAACAAAAAGTATATTTAAAAGTTTAAATATTTTCTTCCTCCTCAGAATCTAGTATATTTTAAAGTTGATACTTCCCTTTATTGGCCAAACACGTCTAAATCGCAATCGGGCAGTTATCTGTCATAAAACAATGCAACTAGTTGAAGAAAATGAATAAATCCAATACATTTTAAATTATAGGTGTACAAAAGCCAGCGCTTCCGCGCTGGTAAAGGTAAGATGCGGAACAGGAGGCGCATCCAGCGTAAAGGACCATTGGTCGTGTACCATCAAGACCAAGGATTGCGTCGCGCTTTCCGCAACATCCCCGGCATCGACCTCATCAGCGTCGGCAAGCTTAACTTGTTAAAATTGGCTCCGGGCGGTCACGTCGGACGTTTCGTCATCTGGACCGAATCCGCTTTCCAGAGATTGGACAAATTGTTCGGCACCTGGAAAACTCCATCCGGCGAAAAGAAGGGATACAACTTGCCGCAACCCAAGATGGCCAATACAGACCTGTCCAGGTTGTTGAAGGCCGACGAAATTAAACAAGTTCTCAGAGCTCCACAGTAAGTAACATTTTATGTTTTTAATTGTAACATTAAGGTGTTGTTTCAAAATTAGGCAATACTTTTATTTTTTCTAATTCATGTGAAATTCTCCTCACTTATGCTAAAACAAAAAATCTGTCAAAATTTGAGCTCTTAATATTAATTTTAAAAGGTCCATCATCGAATTTAAAGTTTTCCCATTGATTTAACATGGAAAATTGGTTTTTTAAGATTTATTTTGCCTGCATGCTATGTAGAACTTTTTTTTGATAAACATTTAAGCATTAAATTATCTACAAAAAATCTTACAGAGTCCAGTCTGTAGATTCAACTGTTTCTTTTCTATTAACGTTGAAACGTATAAAATATAAAAAAAAATTTATAATTACATTTATTTATTTTTATTTATTTATTTATTGCTTAAACGGGAAAACCCCATTACAGTATAAACATTACATATAAAGGTTGTGTCTTGAAAAGAAGACAATTACAGTTAATCACTAAATTAAAAATAAGTAACAAATTCTTTAAACAGATAATTAACATTAATAATAAAAAAAATAACAATTCATTTATCCAATAGTTAACAATAATAATAACAAATACTAATTATAGGTATATCACTAAGTTAACAAATAATATTCAAATAGAGATCACAAGTTAAATTAATTCGATTAAAGCTCTCTTAAAGGAACGAAAAGAACCCCTAAATACATCCAGCCTTTCCTCCCTATTTAAAAAATTCAAAGACCTCTCAAAAAAAAAATGTTTACCAAAATTGGTCCTATGATTTCTTATAAAAAATAAATTATTGTGTCTTAGTATTCTTTGTGGTGTAGTAAATTTAATTTGAGAGAGTAGAAATGGACTAGATATTATACCATTTAATAATTTATAAAGAACACAGATGTCGAACATAGTTCGTCTCTTTTCCAAGGAACATAAATCAAAATGAACTAATATATCAGAATAATCATGGTCAGCAATAATATTAAGGTTAAATTTAAAATTACAGTATCTCAAAAACTTGTGTTGAACTCTTTCCAGCAAATCCTTATACACATTGTATTGTGGAGACCAGATAACTGAACAATATTCAAGTTGAGATCTAACCAACCCTACAAATACCGATCTCACTGCATCTATAGAGAGACCTTGACAATTCCTCAATGTAAATCCCAACATTCTGCTAGCTTTCACAACTAGTTGATGTATGTGGTTGGAGAAACTTAAACGAGAGTCAAACAGTATTCCTAGATCCATGGCCTCTTCCCTTCTACACAATTGTTGCCCATTTATGGAATAAAAAGTATTAATTCTCCTTTTTTTCTTGCAAAACGAAATATGAAAACACTTATTGATATTTAAATTTAACAAATTTTGCTCACACCAAGTTGAGAGACTAGCGGCTAAACTACTATTCGTAGAAGAAAAAGTCAATTAACAATTTTGAAGATCTTTTAATGCTCTACAAATTCGTTCTAAACAATTTTTTCTATCACCTACAGTTCAAAAGGTATAAGTGTCTAAAATCACAGGCAAAATAATCGATCCACACAAATTTTCGATGAATTTCAATCGCAAATAACTTTTATTTGATGTCGGATTTAAACGAATATTAAAGAATATTGTAGATAAATTAATGGACAATCGCGGACATTTTAAAAAATTACTAAAAAATAGACGTACGTTTATAATATACAGGTTTAAACAAAAATATGTTTTTTACCATAAGTTTAAGACACTCTGTAGAGTGGCAAAACCGTATATTGTTCTAAATTAAGTTTTATTTATCAAGTCACATCTATTCTTAACAGTTTTGTTTTTGGTTCACCTCGATATATTTATTTTTGTGGAAAATATGGATTTTTTTAAAAAAACATTGCAATTTTCAATATTTTTCTGTATGAAGAACTAAGGTTGCTATGGTCCATCCATAGGCTATGGAGGATGACAGTGGGAGTTTTGTTGAATCATCTCATACTTGGACATGTCATACACGGCTTTCCAAAGCTATCAAATTGTTTTTTGCAAATTAATGTTTAAATTTTGAGATGTCTTCTTACTTTAAAAAATGGATATGTCTCCAACTGATGTTGCCAGAGCCATTAATTTAATCCAGGATGGACGGTCACAGTATTACGTGGCAAGTGTTTTAAATGTCACAAGAAGTAAAGTACAAAGGGCAACATCAGTCGGAGACATTTTTAAAAGTAAGAAGACACCTCAAAATTAACACATTAATTTACAAAAAACAATTTGATAGCTTTTGAAAGCTGTATATGACATGTCCAAGTATGGGATGATTCAACAAAACTGTCACTGTCATCCTCCATAGGCTATGGATGGACCATAGCAACCTTAGTTCTTCATACAGGAAAATATTGTAAATTGCAATGTTTTTTTTAAAAAAAAAAACATATTTTCCACAAAAATAAATATATCAAGGTGAAATAAAAACAAAACTGTTAAAAATAGATGTTACTTGATAATTAAAACTTAATTTAGAACAATATACGGGTTAGCCACTACAGAGTGTCTTAAACTTATGGTAAAAAACATCTTTTTGTTTAAACCTGTATATTATAAACGTACGTGTATTTTTTAGTAATTTTTAAAATGTGAGCGATTCTCCATTAATGTATCTACAATATTCTTTAATATTTGTTTAAATCCGAAATCAAATAAAAGAGTTATTTGCGATTGAAATTCATCGAAAATTTGTGTGGATCGATTATTTTGCCTGTGAGTGTATTCACTTTGGGAAAAAAGACAATTTTGCAGAAAACTCGAAGCTCTATAAATAACGTATCAAGATTCTTCAACACACAGAATTATTTGCTGAATTTAAGCCAAAATAGCTTAACTTTTATGATATTCTTAATTTCATGATCCAGCTTTTGGCTGCAAATAAAATTTTATACTTTGCTTCAAAAAAGTTTTCAAATAGGTACTGAAAATAATTTGAAACCTTAAAAATTATTTTTAGTATTTCAAAACTTTTTTGAAGTGAAGTATAAAATTTTATTTGCAGCCACGAAATTAGGAATATTAAAAAAGTTAAGCTTAAATTCGGCGATTAATTGAGTGTGTTGAAGAATCTTGGTACGTTATTTATAGAGCTTCAAGTTTCATGCAAAATTGTTCCTAAACTTTTTTTCCTACAGTGAAAATTATAATAATACAGGGTGAGTTTTAAGTTGACGCGTTCCTTTTAACAGTGTGTAGAAATCAGCTGGACAAATAAATATTTTAAGTAACTTTTTTATCAAAACTCAAAAATAAAAAAGTTATAGCCCATCAAAGTTTAATTAAATTTTAAGCCGGTCCTGGCTATTGTTAACGAAAAACATAACCATAAAAATATCAAAATAAACAATGCAAAATGTCATATTTGACAACAAACATAACCATTTAAGTCAAATTGACATTTTGCAATAAAAAATGTCATTATTTACTTAAGTTGCAGCATTTGCATTTTGACGACACTCCATAAATTAGTAACATTTCCACTAATTCATTATTGCTATAATTATGAACCATTTTTAACAATAATTGAGGCACAAAAAAAACTGACAATTTTCATTGCTAAATGTCATTTTGATTTAAATGTTTGTTGTCATAGATGACATATTGCATTGTTTATTTTGTTATTTTTATTTTTATGGTTATGTTTTTTGTTAACAATAGCCAGGACCGGCTCAAAATTTAATTAAACTTGGAAGGCCTATCTTATCTTATCTTATTTTTGAGTTTTGTGAAAAAAGTTACTTAAAATATTTATTTGTTTATATGATTTCTACACGCTGTTAAAAGGAACGCGTCAACTTAAAACTCACCCTGTATATTATGCATAATCATGAAAATAGGATTTTAGACACTTATAACTTTTAAACTGTAGGTGATAAAAAAAATTGTTTAAAACAAATTTGTAGAGCATTAAAAGATTTTCAAAATTGCTAATAAACTTTTTCTTCTACGATTAGTAGCCTTTAAATGTAAAAATATCAATTTTTTTTAGAATTTATACGTTTCAACGTTAATAAAAAAGGAACAGTTGAATCTACAAACTGGACTCTTTAAGATTTTTTGTAGATAATTTAATGGTAAAAAATAACCAGTGATTGTTTATTTAAAAAAAGTTCTACATAGCATGCAGGTGAAATAAATATCAAAAATCTATTTTTCCCATGTTAAATCAATGGGAAAACTTTATATTTGATGATGGACCTTTTAAAATTAATATTAAGAGCTCAAATTTTCACACAATTTTTTTTTAGCATAAGTGACGAGAATTTCACATGAATTTAAAACAAAAAAATATTGCCTTATTTTGAAACACCCTATTGTAACATTGTAACTTTACTTATGATGAAACAATTTTTAGAGCATTGGGTTATGATTGCCTATGATTATTAGTTGACACCTGATACGTTTTTTTAATGTATTTAAATATATTTTGATTAAATATTTTTTGCTAATGGCTTGTTTTCAATTATAGGAAGAAGATTGTACGTCGCCAGCGTCGTCTCAATCCAATCAGCAACACTAGGGCTATGCTTCGTCTTAACCCGTACGCTGCCGTTCTAAAACGCCAAGCCATTCTCAGCGGACAAAAACGTATGTTGGAACGTGAAGCACTTTTGGCCAAGAAACGCGGTGTAAGTATTTTATTTGATAAATACGCTAAAGAAGTATCGCTAGTATCATCGTAACAAAAGTACAACTTTTAATAATCAGCTGTCAAACGCTTATGTTACAATCGAGTGTTTTTGAGAATAAAGCCGGAAAATGTTAAAAAATATCGGGAAAAAAACCGTGGCACGATTTGTTGTGTTGTTGGGTGTATTTCGAGAGGAAATCCTGGGTTGAGTTTTTACCGGTTTTCCAATAAACAGTGTTAATCTGAATGAAGAAATAAATTGCATACAGTCTCTGTAAATATAAATTGTACTATGCTCCACACCTAAAAGTCCCACCACGTGACCACGTACGGAACGCAGTCTTTTGAAAATTTGGCATTGAAGGCTTTTCAGGTTATGTATCTGTCAAAGTATAGTCAACGAAAGAAATAATATTATGTTTAGGCGTTAAAAATGTATAAATCTTTATAACATTACAATAACAACGGATGGTTTAAGAATTTAAGAATATAAATACTGCATTTAATGAAATTCTAAAGTGTATGGTGCCAAATAAGTAATATTTTTGTGCATTTGGTCCAAATATCTGGTTCTCTCCATAAAATAATTTTAACTAAACAGCATTTATTCAAAAAAATCCAGCTTCTCTATTATGGAATAAGAATATCTGTATTAAAGGTAGGTTAATATATTATAACAAAAATATCATCTAATTTTGTAATTTTAAGGTTAGAAAAATTTATTTTGACGAAAATAAATAAGTATTTTGGATTATTTAAAAGACTGTATAATATGGTATTTAAAAATGTGGTAGTTTTTCTTATCCAGCTTAAAGTGTACCTACATAAAGTTTTGTCAATACAAATAGTTAAAGAGCTTCGACTGAATTTGATCTACATCAAAAAATCATTATCATGTCATGGGAGTATTCATTATTTGCACATTGCAAGTTTCTCTAAAAATTGTTTGTTTTCTTATAATCCAACTTAAAGTAGGTATGCCGAGAGGTATGCACAGGTTTTGTCATTAGAAGTATAAAAGCTTCAATTTAATTTGAGCCATATTCAACAATTATTTAGTATACCTATATTTATTTATGACCATATTAACACACTCTTCCAAATAATCCACTTATTTCTTCTTCTTCTTCTTCTTCGATCTGAAAAAACGTCTCCGTTTCTTCAGGGGGGATGGCCTTTAGCTTATTTAAAAACTATTTGGCCAAATCCACTTATTTATTTTGGTCAAAATAGATTTTTTTAACCTTAAAATACAAAATTAGATGATATTTTTTGTTCTTATACATTAACCTACCTTTGATACAGATATTCTTATTTTTTCATAATAGAGAAGTTAGATTTTTTTAATAAATGCTGTTTAGTTAAATGTAGACCCAATGCACAAAAATATCACTTATAATTAGAGATGTAAAAAAACGGTTTTTTTTCAGATGTGAAAAAAAACCTAGAAAAAAAACCGTTTTTTTTTGTTTTTTTTTCAAAATGAAATTTTGAGTAATATTTAGAATATTTAGAATTCTTTAAAATTGAAAATTTTGACAAAGACTAAAAAATCTGATTTCTTATTATTTGGTAGTTTCCACATTAGAAACCAATAGCAATGTAAAATTTCTACACTAAAAAAAAATTAAACGATACAATTTTTTTTTTGCGATTTTTTGGATAACTGTATCTTTGTTAAAAATGGTCGTATTGGAGGCGTAAAAAAAGCAATTTGAAGCTTGAAGTTTATAGTTTTGAGATTTTTAGACGTGCAACGGTCAATACTAACGAATAACGTAATAAAAAAATCGAATTTTTTTGTTTTCTTTTTTGGTCCAAATGTTCTACAAGAATTTGCTATTGTTTTTTGAAAAAAAAATTCCATACTCTACAAGAATTTGAAAAATCATGAAAAAAGTGCTTTTGGTTGCTTTTGAAAAATCAAGCGCTGAATCAAATATATTATATGTAGTTACTTTTTTTAGGACCAAATCAAAACAAGCGCAGCCCTTATTGGTCAAATCGGTGGTTGTGGCGCGTGCATAGCGCGAGACTGTATTTACATTTACTAATTGTCATTTAGAGGCTAATTTTAGTCCATGGAAACATAAAAAATTGGGCAAATGGGACTTATTTTGAAAAAAAACCTAAAATGTGAAAAAAAACCATTTGAAAAAAAAACAATGAAAAAAAACAAAAAAAACGGACCGTTTTTTTTCAAGTCGCATCTCTACTTATAATGCACCTTACACTTTGGAATTTCATTAAATGCAGTATATTTATTCCTTAATTCTTAAACCAACCATTGTTATTGTGATACTATAAAGATTTATTAACTTTTAACGCTGAAACATAAGCGGTAACACTATAAATATTATTTCTTTCATTGACTATACTTTGACAGATACATAACCTGAAAAGCCTTAAATCCTAAATTTTTAAAAGACTATGTTCCGTACCTACGTGGTCACGTGGTGGGACTTTGAGGTGTGAAGCATAGTACCTATTATGTAGATACAATAAATACACATTTTAGTAGTGATTAACGTAAAAAGTGTAACATTTCAATTCAGTAAAAATCGTCAAACAAATAAGTCGTCTTTATTTATATTAAAAGCGTTGATTAAGAATTCTTTAAAGTCTCCACTCAACGGTAAAATACCATTATGTTATGTATTATATATAATATTTTGTTGCCATGAATTCGTAGGTATATTTTGTTGTTTAAAATGCAGTCGTCGGCGTTTTTTAGAGAACCCAAATATAAAAACGGTTGATTTTAAGGTTATGTTTGTGCAAAAATTATTTTTTACTAATTTCTTAAAAATGTCCAAACTTAAATATAAATTATATTAGGTAAAGTTATCATTAGTTAATTCTGCACCAACAAATGTACTTACCGAATTGGATCCTTTGGCAAAACATGAAAATGCAACGATTTAGTTCTTGAATTTTATTTACAATTAAAAACACAATAATTCACCATGATCCCTTTGATAAAATACACACACAAACGTAACTATATAAGCATTTAAGCGTTGAGTTTCTTAATCAATGATATAATCGAAATCGAGTACTAAAAAAGTTTTTTAGTTTTTTCCTTGCAACGTAAAACACAAATAACGTGCGCGATTTAGCTGTGCAATTGAACAAAATTTGTCGTGTAAAATTTTTTTTTATTTATTTAAAAATGATGTACAGTTCGTATGCTTTAAATGTATTTTTGACAATTCTAAAATTCACGCAATGCTTTTGAAGTCCACCAGATGGCGCGCGAGTTGCGAAAACCCGATACTTATTTCGCAAATAAATAATATTTAACATAAAATGCTAAACTTCCAAATTATTAAACTATACGTTTGCACATAACAATGTCCACATTCACACAACATCAATTTGTCTGAGAATGTTCCATAAATGTGCTATATTAATTGGTAGCTATAGGCGTTCCTTTCCGGTTTTGTATCGGAAAAGGGCAATGATTACCATACAATAGCACTATGATAGTTTTACAAACTTTTTTTTTTCCTAGCATTAAGTACTCCAGCTTAGTTTAACTAATTTTGGGTCGCTGATTTGAAAAATGTCATTAGTTTTTCTCTAGGACGTCTAGGATTTAAAATAATTTCGTTAATCACCTCAAAATGTAAGCTTTTTGTTGGTATTTTAATTTTTTATTAAATTATTTTGCCTTAAATTTATCTTGATTGTAATAAAGTAATTGGTATACGGCAAATAGATCATGTTTATCTAAACAATATGACATATGACAACTAAAATTTTAATGTATTTTATGTAAAAAAACAACCATTATTATATATATATATATATTTTGTAGTTTATTTTAATTATTAAATTGAAATGGCAACAAAGTAAACAAGTTTCAGTATTTTTTTTATCCAAATTAAGCCCGCAAAATTTAATGCATTGTATAATTTTGCTTTTTTCTACCTTAAATTTATTAAATCGTATCAAATATCAAATTGGATTATAGTATTATTGTGTTATTCCTTATCATCGTCGTACATATTTTGCTGCAAATTCCAGCAAATGTCTCCTAGCAATGAATCCAACTTCTTTCCGCTATACCCATAGATATCTACCAATGCTCTAGATTTGCAGTTACTTTTTTTTTATTTATTTATTAGTTAGTTTTTTAAATAACAAATATAAATTATTTACAAGTAGATATAAAATAATTTAAAAATATCACAGCATTTACACAAAGAAAGATTTATTATCTTATATTATTTCTTATTGATATATAGTGTTCTTGAGCCAGAGAAGTAAATTTTTTTAGATTCTGTTGGTTCCTAATTTGTTCTGGGAGATCGTTGAACCATTTAAGGGCAGTTTGAGTAACTCTTTTTTTCCTGAGTTTGAAATTGAAAATGATATATAATATTGTAAATTTTGCCTTGTAAAGTAATTGTGCTTATCACAGTTTCTCGACAGTGTAACACCTGTATTGATCAAACTATTCCTTATCTTATAAATCATTTTTACACTATCCAGCTTAATTAATTCGTCAATAGTTAGGATTCTTAATTCATTGTAGAGATCAGTTGTGTGAGTTCTAGGCGATTTATTAAATAATAATTTTATTAGTTTGTTTTGCGTAGTTTGAAGAGTTTTGAGGTCCTTTCTTTTTGCTTGTCCCCAAAAAGCAGGGAGATACATCAGGTGGGAACCAATATACGCATTAAAGACTAGATACTTTGGTGAAATCGTTCTCCATGTTCATCAGTTCGGCAAATTTATCAGGATGAAAAAAAAAAGAAAATGTATTTTAAATGACTTATTAACGCTAATTTTTTGCAAAACGAAAAGCATTTTTTAATGAATTGAGAACATTTTCAATGACAGCTTTAAAACTGGCATATGCGACAAGCTCGTCAACTTTGAGAGCATTTTTAAAAGCTTGATCTTTTATTAAACGTCGTATATCAGGTCCATTTAATATTTCTGCAAAATTAAAGTAGTAGGTATATCTCATAAAATTTTCTAATGAAATATTGCGTTGGTTTTTCTTGGGCGTAAAGGTACCGCAACAAAAACAAAACATATTTACAACGATGACATAAATGTTTGTCTCCTTTCTCTTCCTCTGCCACTTCCATTTCATGTTTTTTTTTAAATCGAACTATCATAGTGTAGTTTATTTATTTCTGTATTTACTTTTTTTAGAATACTTTGGAAGTAAACATTTTAAGTTAAACTAACTTTTTTGACTATTGTTTTATTGTTTTATAGATTGTCCTCGCTGATGACTCCGCCGTAATAAGAACAAGAAAGATGCAAGAACGCAGAAGGGCGCTCATTCTTAAAGACAAGAAGAGTAAGCCAAAGAAGGCTAGCAAAAAAGCCCCAGCAAAAAAATAATTGGGTGACATAGTTGTGTAATATAAGTTTTATGCATTGACTGTGGTAACCTGACATATTTGTAATTAAATAAAAAGTTTAAAAATTAAAAAATATTTTATTAATATAATGTTTTGTTTTATATTTTTTGCTTGTATACAAAAAAATATCTGCACGCTTTTTAATGATTATACAATTTTGATTTGTTTATGATGTTTAAAAACGTGCAAAATAATTTTTAAAAAATAGGTGTTCCCTTGTGCTTTGGTATATGGGGCGAATATTTTTTAAACAATTGTTATAAATATTTCAAATTTATTTGAAAACAAAACCATTGTTTCCTAGGATGCAACACCATCTAACAAAAGATTCTAAAAAGTAAGTATATATGGATAGCATTTATCGAAAAGGAACTAAGCACCAAAAACTTTTTCTGGGGTAAACAAAATTATTTGCAAAATAATGCTGCTCAAAAAATTAATTAATTAATGATTTGGGAACCTTCTCAATCCTTTTGAGAAAAGTTCCAAATGATTAACCTTTTGAGCATTATTAAATATGAGTTTTACAAATAAAAGTTTTGGGTGGTTGTTTCCTTTAATCATAATAATTATACATTTACATAATATGAAATTTATGTCATTTATAACAAATGAAGGTGTAAGAAGCAAAAAAGATAAGTGGAGTTAATAACAAAAGTTTTTACTACATAGAACATGCAGAACTCCAACAATTTTTTTGTTTCATTTTAGTTTCATTCTAAAATGCACTTGTAAGGTACAGGTTTGCTTACCCCTTCAAATTCAAACTTATGATGAAACAATTTTTAGAGCATTGGGTTATGATTGCCTATGATTATTAGTTGACACCTGATATATTTAAACAATTGCATTACATTTATTTTATTTTTTTAACAAACAAAATAATATATTTTTAAATTTTTAGGTTCTAACCCAGATTGCTCTATTTAAAAGTATGTAAGATGCTATTTTATTTGGCAAACACTTCTCTGGAACCTAATAAAAAAGTAAGTTTTAATTAATTTTTCAATTTTATTTTAAATTCATTTGTTTTTATTATGATGATTTGCTTTTGGTCCGTGTTTATGAATTCTTATGATTTTAAATCAAAAGCTCTGATGCGCCAAAGCGAATTATACATAATTTATTATATTTTTACACTATATTCAATAGTTATTTGTTATTTTAGATGCAGGACAAGATATAACATTCATCATACCAGCATTTTTATAGGCGACATATACAAACCCAATAAATTAAAATTTTTGCCAAAAAGCGAAATTGACAAAATATTTAAAAAGCATCAGACGACGTTTATTTTTTGATCAAGGTAAATTATTTACTCATTTAACTTTTTATGTTACCAATTGTAGTAATATTAAGTTGATGTACATTTTTACTTTAAAAATATGCATTGTTTCATTTTTTTAATAGAATTTGCAATAGGGAATAAAAATACCCAATTTGCCCTAAAGCATATGACTGTTTGTGCATTAAAATCAAGTCTAATTTGTTTTAAAATGCCCTGCGTTCATAAATTTTATTAATGGCTGCATATTACTTATTAAATGTAAATTTTATGATGAAACAATTTTTAGAGCATTGGGTTATGATTGCCTATGATTATTAGTTGACACCTGATATATTTAAAAAATTGTATTACATTTAGTTTATTTTTTTAACAAATAAAATAATATATTTTTAAATTTTTAGGTTTCTACCCAGATTGCTCTATTTAAAGTATGCAAACACTTCTCTGGAACCTAATAAAAAAGTAAGTTTTAATTTATTTTTCTATTTAAATTTATTTTAAATTCATTTGTTTTTAATATCATGATTTGCTTTTGGAATAGTTTTAATAGCCATTCTCGGGTTCGCCGAGCCTATGCTATACGCTCAGTGGGGTATAGGAGGAGGGACGGGAGGGTGTTGGTTTTTGGGGGACAATGGGGTAGTTAAATTTTTTCTGACCTATACTTTTTATGGTTTTATTCAAGGCGTTTTGTAATATTAAACATTTCTGTGAAATCAGAATTTCAATTGAGTTTACCGTTTTCGAGATATTTACAAAAAATATAAATTTTTATGACGTCACAAACCCCGTCATGTGACCAACATTCTAAGATTTCTATTGGTTGAAAATTACCCTGTTGTCAAGTTGTCTTGTTAATGATTTCATTCGGTTATGTCAGAAAATACCCGAAGAGGTTATGTACAAATACTGTCACTGTCAGTTGAGTGAAAGAAGAAGAAGAGAAGGTTAAAGAAAATTCTGAAATTAAAACTTTTATTGATAGGTTTACACATTGAAACACCGTGTGAAACCTAATAAAATGTATTAAATAGGTACCTAATAACTGTCTAAAGCAGAGTTTAATTTATTTCATAGAAAAAAGTGGCAAAATAAAGCTGAAAATGAATGAAATAAATTTACAAAAAATAATAATATATCTAAAAGAATATAAAGAACTAGGCATTATACCAATGAAATGCATTTACGACAAAATATGATTATAATTATAGGTACATACTTTTTTTGTTTAAAAGCTCCAATGTTCAATGTAACCAACCATTCCACAAGATTTCTCTGCTTTGGAATCCGTTATTAATAAATCACTTATCTAATATCAATTACAAATAACATTGATTTTCAATAATCTAAATTTAAAAAAAACAACCCGAAAAAAAGAAACGTCAAAAAATCAATTCTTCTTCTCAACTAAAATATTATAACGTGGCGCCATCTATCGTAAACTAAACACACTGGCAACCATAGAAAAAGCTGGCAACGTGGTCAATAGCCTAGTGACGTAATTAGGAGATTTTGTTTTGTAAATATCTCTAAAACGGTAACCTCAATTGAAATTCCGATTTCACAGAAATGTTTAAAATTACAAAACGCCTTGAATAAAACCATAAAAAGTATAGGTCAAAAAAAATTTAACTACCCCATTACGCCGACTTAAAACTAAGTACGACGCGGAATTCCCCTAGACCAGTCGATTGGTATTACTCCAAACATTTGGGATTACTATTTGGAGTTGGGGAGTTGTTATTTCGCTGCAGGGGTGTAGTTTCCCAGTCGAGGTCTTTGTCTTGTTCGTTATTGTCATTGTCTGTGCCCTGGTCAGATAGTTCCTGCACTTGGTAAAGTGTGTCAGTTGTTTTTAATAAATTTGTCCCAAGCACGTTTTGTGGTAGTTTTGTCTTTTTTTCTTAAATTCCAAAATTAAGTATTGCATTTATTTATTAGTTAAACAAATGACAAGCGCAATTATTCTTTTATCTAATGATTACAAATCTAGTAGAGTTTGATTATTAGGCTTTTTTTTACTGTGTTAGGGTTATTATGATTAATGTTAGTTTATTCTGTGAGTCTAGTGTTTATTTTCGGTTTCGTTTGGGATTGCATTACGCACTTGTTGTTGACAGATTTATTGCCCTACTCCGTGTGCCTTTCATATGTTTTAAAGATATCTGCCGTATTTAAATTGCAGATTTTGTATTAGGTCATGCATATTCTTAACTTATCAATTTTTTTTTTGCGGATGGCCACCTCCCCTCTTGTTTGACCTCCTTTGTCTGTCCAGTGAAAAGCGTCCAATGACAGGTGGCACTTAACTCATTCATATCACTTAACACTTCACTCCTCAATGACCGCTACACCACTCTATGAAAATTGTTTGTTTCACTTTATTAGTTTGCACTTTTTAAAAATTATTGTTGGTTTCAATCTTTAAACTTTTACGTTTTAAGAGCCTTCCCACACGCGTCGCGCCTTCTCAAGCGCTGGAACCTGACTGATGCTTTGTTTTATTTGTGTAATAAAAATTTCAATAGGGATTAAAAATACCAAATTTTCCCTAAAGCAATAATATGACCGTTTGTGCATTAAAATCAAGTCTGTAATTTGCTTTAAAATGTCTGGCCATTCATACATTTTATTAATGTCTGCATATTACTTATTAAATATAAATTTTATGATGAAACAATTTTTAGAGCATTGGGTTATGATTGCCTATGATTATTAGTTGACACCTGATATATTTAAACAATTGCATTGCATTTAGTTTATTTTTTTAACAAATAAAATAATATATTTTTAAATTTTTAGGTTTCTACCTAGATTGCTCTATTTAAAAGTATGTAATATGCAATTTTATTTGGCAAACACTTCTCTGGAACCTAATAAAAGAAGTAAGTTTTAATTATTTCAATTTTATTTTAAATTCATTTTTTTTTAATATGATGATTTGCTTTTGGTCCGTGTTTATGAATTCTTATGATTTTAAATCAAAAGCTCTGATGCGAAAGCAAATTATACATAATTTATTATATTTTTACACAATGTTCAATAATTATTTGTTATTTTAGATGCAGGACAAGTTATAACATTCATCATACCAGCATTTTTATAGGCCAAAATTCCAGCTATATTTCATATGGTTTCATTTTTAACAGTGAGTATAATAATATTATTAAAATGTGATGTTGATTAAAAAAATCTCCAAAAACACAAATAAAAAATATTATATAATTGTTAGTTGACACCTGATATATTTATTTAAAGAATTACATTAATTTTTTTTTATCAAATTAAATTAATATATTTTTTTAATTAAGATATTAAGCATATGCCCATATGTGCATTAAAATTAAGTTTGCAATTTGCTTTAAAATGCCCGGCGGTTCATAATTATATTAATGGCTGCATATTAAATATAAATTTTATGATGAAACAAGTTTTAGAGCATTGGGTTATGATTGCCTATGATTATTAGTTGACACCTGATATATTTAAACAATTGCATTACATTTATTTTATTTTAACAAATTAAATAATATATTTTTAAATTTTTAGGTTTCTACCCAGATTGTTCTATTTAAAGTATGCAAACACTTCTCTGGAACCTAATAAAAAAGTAAGTTTTAATTTATTTTTCTATTTAAATTTTATTTTAAATGCATTTGTTTTGAATATGATGATTTGCTTTTGGTCCGTGTTTATGAATTCTTATGATTTTAAATCAAAAGCTCTGATGCCAAAGCGAATTATACATAATTTATTATATTTTTACACGATGTTTAATAATGATTTGTTATTTTAGATGCAGGACAAGATATAACATTCATCATACCAGCATTTTTATAGGCCAAAATTCCAGCTATATTTAACTTGGTTTAATTTTTAACAGTGAGTATAATAATATTATTAAAATTTAATGTCATTATAATATGAACCAATCAAAAGCCTTGAATTTTCTAATAAATTTCGTTTAAATAAGCGACTAAATCACTAGAACTATTTAACAGCGATTAAATTTTACCCTCCATATTGGATTTTTGTTTACGATTTTATGGTGTTATTTACAAGTTTTAACAAACATTTTTTAAAAAACAATAAAAAATAAGTTATCTAGTTTACAAAATATCAATTATTACTTATTACATACCTACCTTAAATTAATAAAATTTTCTTTAAAAAAATATTTATAAATTTTGACACATACGTTAGATTTTATGAATTGTCAAATAGTTTCCTTTAATTCGAGAAATAATCTAGACGTATATCACTCAACCTATAAATTTAATTTGTCAAACTATGCTCAGTAAGTTTTTTATTTGATTTTTCTTTTTGGAAAATAGTTTCATGCAAAATAATTAAAAATAAAACCACTCGACCGCTACGCGGTCTCGTGATTTTATTAAATTATTTTACATTCAACATTTCCCAACAAAAACTACTGAGCCTAGTTTAACCGATTAAATTCATAGTTCTCGTGATATAATATATGATTAAAAAAATCTCTGAAAACACAAAAAAAAATATTAAATAATTATTAGTTGACACCTGATATATTTATTTAAAGAATTGCATTATTTTTTATTTATCAAATAAAATAATAAATTTGTTTTAAACTTTCCCTAAGTATTAAAAATAGGTATTTCTACCCAGATTGTTCTATTTAAAAGAATGTTAATAAAAATGGAATAAATAGCGAATATAAAAACTTGAGCCGTTTTTAAAGCCAACAGGTGACATATACAAACCCAATAAATTAAAACTTCTCCCAAAAAGCGAATTTGATCAAGGTAAATTATTTACTCATTTAACTTTTCATGTTACCAATTGTAGTAATGTTAAGTTTATGTACATTTTTACTTTAAAATGCCCGGCGGTTCATAATTATATTAATGGCTGCATATTTAATATGATGAAACAATTTTTAGAGCATTGGGTTATGATTGCCTATGATTATTAGTTGACACCTGATAGATTTAAACAATTGCATTACATTTATTTTATTTTAACAAATTAAATAATATATTTTAAAATTTTTAGGTTTCTACCCTGATTGCTCTATTTAAAAGTGTGATACGCTATTTTACTTGGCAAACAGTACTCTGGAATCAAATAAAAAAGTAAGTTTTAATTTATTTTTCTATTTAAATTTTATTTTAAATCCATTTTTTGAATATGATGATTTGCTTTTGGTCCGTGTTTATGAATTCTTATGATTTTAAATCAAAAGCTCTGATGCTGAAGCAAATTATACATAATATATTATATTTTTACACAATGTTTAATAAGTATTTGTTATTTTAGATGCAGGACAAGAATGCTATCATTCATCATAGCAGCGTTTTTATATGCTTAAACTCCAGCTATAATTACTCATTTAACTTTTCATGTTACAAACAAATTGTACATTTTTCCTTAAATTAAATTAAATTGTTATTTAATAAAAGATATGCATTGTTTTATTTGTGTTATAGTTTGCAGTAGGTAATAAAAATACCCAATTTGTCCTAAAGCAATAATATGACTAAAAAATATTAATAAATACTTTTCTATGTGTTTTATTCTACAATAACCAAATACAACCAAAGATCATTTCTCTACTAAAAGCACAATCCACATTGTGGATTGTGAGTCACAATCCACAATGTGGATTGTGCTTTTAGTACACAATTTGTGACTAAAAGCAGAGATAAACCAAAAGAAATGCAGTTTAATAATTGATGTTATGTTGCTTAAATTAATGTCTCCTTATTTTCTGAAAATAATATAATACAAGTATTTTTCTGTCTCTAAAGGTCTTAATCGGTATAGTCACGGTCTTATATACAGGTCTTGCAACTTTAAGCTTCGAGGTGGCTTCCTTAACGTGCCAAGCCGCCAGGTGGCGCTAAGATCGAAGGGTGAAGTCAATTAAATGAACTACTTAGTTAAATGTGGAACTACTGCATAACCTAACTTTTTAAATTCTTTTTCTATGTTTTGTTTACATTTTCAAAAATTTAATATTTGTTAGTTTGTTTCGGATAATTTACGTTAACAAAATAGGACAACAAAGTCTATATTCTATGCACAAAGTCCTCGGCCGTCACATGCCCAGACCAAACATGTAATGTATAAAATACATACGTATATCATATATATGTTACGGCTAATGTGTAAACATGGATAGTTTATAAAGTAGCTGGGTAGTTTATAAACTAGCCAAACTGTCAGCTATTTTAATCTAATTAATAAGTAAAAACTCCCTGTAACAAAATACACAAGCTGGTTTATAAAAATGTAGGTTATGTTTCTTACACAGAACATAAGTAGGTAGTTCATTTGACCTTTTATCCCATAGACTTTAAGGACTTAGAGCCGGTTTTACAATAGTTAGATTAAGTTAGCTTATTTGGCGGATAACTTTCATAGAAACCTTCTATCTAAGAAAATTATCCACCAGAGAGCTTATCTAACGATTGTAAAACCCAAAGATAAAGAAGGTAAAAACGACCTTTAAACATCTATGGTTCACCCCAAAGAACACCCACAACTCGATGCGCCATCTGGTGGGTGACTCATTATAGACCTCTATAGAGAGGTCACTTTTCCTATTGAAATTGGGCGAAGTTGCAAGACCTGTATATAAGACCGTGGGTAGGTATAGTAAATTAAGGGTTGGTATGATTTGTCCATATTTGTTGTAACAATAATATTCTATTAACGACAACTGCCATTATATTTAAATTTGCCGCGTACTCCTGTGTAAACCCGTCTCGTTTTGCAGCGACATCTACTTTATTCTTAAATGAAATGGAATAAGATTTAGTAGGCAACTATTCCTTATGCAGTACTATAGTACTGCAGATAGCACACAATGTCTTGAAGATGTCTTTTGTATGTCTGTATTATGACTGAACGTCTGAAGATCTAAAAAAGACGTTTGAAAGACGTCTTTTGATAGACGTCTTAAAAATATCTTCATTTAATTTTCTAAAGACATCTTAAAAATGTCTTATACCGCCGTTAATTTTTTTAAATATTTTGATAAAATAGTGAATTTTGAAGGAACGCCTAAATGCAGGAATGGGCTCCATCTTAATATAATTTTTGCGTAAAATAAAACAAACCAAATCAAACCAAACCCAACCAACCCAACCCCCCGTAACCGCCCTATAGACCTATCCCATAAAACAGACTTTTGGATAGCGCGTGCCTGAAGAAGAGTGGTATCTCTTTCTCTTTTATGTAATTAAAAAAAGACGACGTGCCTTTTCACGCACGCGCTATCCAAAAGTCCGTTTTATGGGATAGGTCTATTGAAGCCTAACCACCCTATTGAAGACGATTATTCCATCGTGCATTGCCCTTTATCTCGAACTTTGTTACCGATGGAATAATCGTCTTCAATAGGGTGGTTAGGCTTCAATAGGGCAGTTACGGAGGGTTGGGTTGGTTGGGTTTGGTTTGATTTGGTTTTATTTTACGCAAAATTTATATTCAGATGGAGCCCATTCCTGCATTTAGGCGTTCCTAATTTTGACAAGATATAATTAGGTACCATCTTAATAAAAACAACATTAATGTAGAATTTTAACGATGATGTTTAGGGTAACTGAATAAATATATATCTGACATTCTTGTGAATTGGCTATTTTTTCTGCAATTAATAATATCCATTTGTAATAAAAACATTATTAGCTACCACAGAGTAGACTCTGTGTTCTACTCTGTGTTAGCTACATTTTAATTACTTTAAAAACGTTTTGGCGATGTAGCAATGCATAACCAAGACTTTTTCAATAGGTAGTCTTTAACATCTTAAAGACGTCTTAACAACGTTTAGCAACGACTTAATAATGTCGTTAAAAGGACATCTTAAAGACGGTGTGTTTTGTAACATTAGATATCTTAAAGACGTCTTAAAGATGACTTACGTCGTAAACTGGACGTCTTAGGGATGTCATAAACGTCCGAGTCCGACATCTTTAAGATATCTTTTAGATGTCTCTGTGCTATCTGGGTATTCTTCCATAGAAATAATACTAGTATTATTTCTATGTATTCTCCACACCACGTGACTACGTACGGAACCCAGTCTTTTGAAAATTTGGCATTTAAGGCTTTTCACGTTATGTATCTGTCAAAGTATAGTCAATGAAAGAAATAATATTAATACTGTTACTGCTTATGTTTAAAGCCTGATTTATAGATTTTCTTCCTTCCTCCCGTAAAAGATGAACAATACGAAAATCGTAGTGCCGTTTATAGATTTTCGTAAGGGAATCTTTAAACGGCACTACAGATTTCGTATTGTTCATCTCTTACGGAAGGAAGGAAGGAAGAAAGGTAATCTATAAATCAGGCTTAAAAACGTTCTTTTTTTGAATGGTAAAAAAAATGGATATTCAGAGGGCTATACGGATTTGAACCCGGCCATCCTCTTTACACATACAATACCAACATTATCAATGTGCCACATTCCAAATAAAAAAAACTGGCGAAATTTATTGTTTCCACCTGGCAACCCTGGTAAAAACACAGAACATAAGCACTTACTTGAAGTTAGCAGTTGTCTCTGAAGTTAGTAACCAAAGTTCATTGTTAGTAACTTCACATTTGTCATATTTATCAGTCAAAGTTATTTATGGAAAAAATATATGTAATAATAATTTGTGTTATGCTGGGCATTTAACAAGTGACCCTTCTAATCAGTCCTTGATCTTTTCGGTGGTGATAACGGCATATCATGTTGTAAATTAATAAAAACGTGCGTTGTAACGGACTGTTATTCTTGTTTAACCAAATTTTTAAAATTTGTGTCAACAAAAGAAATGCATAAAATTCAACATGTTCCAAGAATTGATAAACCAGAAAAAGAATCAATTCACTCAGGTCAGTTTATGGTATCACATTTTGAAGCAGAAGAACAAGATGATGAAGACAATGTTGCAGTTCCTATACCTGAAGTTACTGGGGACTTAAAGTCAGAGGAACCAGTTAAAAAAAATTTGGGGATGTTGGAATATGTAAAAATCCAGTGTAATCAGCAACTGGGTATTGACAACAGCTTATCAAAGCTCTTTCAATGCATGTCATTAGCATACAGGTATTTCCCTTTTCTTAATTTACATTCAAATACCTATATAAAAGTAATATTTTTATTTTAAAATATTGGACATTACCTAAGCGAAAAAATATATTAAACACAACAATCCATTGTGGTTATAAATTTAATTACCAAAAGCAATACATATTTACTAATAACACAAATAGTACTTTATTTATTTATAAAAATTATTATTAATTGTTAATTAATTTTTTTAAAGTTTTATTTGAAAAATATAAAATTCTTGTATTACCTCATCGTTTGTAATCAAAATTTAATTTTTAGCTTAAAGTACCTGGATATTTTAATTAATTAATTGACCAGTTGTATTTATTTGCAAATTAATACTAATACAAATTATATATATAATATAATATATGTAGGTATATAATATATACACACATGTCCAAAAGTTTGGAATACTTAAAATAATATATCTACGCCTATGGTAGTTTAAAAAAACTGTTCTTAATATTTACTCTATTTTCTCTGTCTTTGAGGTTTATTTATTATTGTTCGGAGTCGTTATAAAATGGTATTTACCAAAAAAAAAAATATATATAAATATCAATAAAAAAAGAAATATTGCTATATGTATCAATATTTTTCTTAGGTTAAAAAGTAGTCAATATATCGATATTTTCTTCCAGCTCTAGTACGGCCATTCCACACGTAATGGATGGGACAGTTGCAAGTTTATATTTAGAAAATAATATTGTTCTAGTATATTACTAATGTAAAATTTTTTTATATAGTTCTAAACAAAAGTTGTTTAGCAAGGTTTTTATTTGGCAAAATTAGGTATCCTGGTTGTCTGCTAAATTCCTTAAAAAATAATTTTTTTATTCAAAAAGACTACTAGTACTGTTTTTGAATAAAAAAATTATTTTTTAAGGAATTAAGCAGACAACCACGATACCTAATTTTGCCAAATAAAAACCTTGCTAAACAACTTTTGTTTAGAACTATTTAAAAAAATTTTACATTAGTAATATACTAGAACAATATTATTTTCTAAATAAAAACTTGCAACTGTCCCATCCATTACGCGTGGAATGGCCGAGTACAGACTAGAGACCCTTTAACCTAGTCCCTAGTATGGACCAACTACACAGGCTGTGTTTTTAACCAAATAGTATTTGCTTACAATATATTATACAATTATAATTTACAGTAAAAAGCGCCAAGGATGAAATTGATATACCAGGGGGCTAAGCAATTTCAAGCCTTTAGGGATGTTAATAAAGGTTTCCTTGGTCTATCATTATGCTAAAATAATTATATTACTCCAAAGATAATATATACAGAGTGTTACTTAAGTTTGTACAATCAATTTAATAGATTCTTCTAGTGATTTTAAGACAAAAAGTTTATATAAACATGGATCCACAAATGCTTCATTTAAGTACTAAAGTCTATTCAAATCCAAGCTGGACTAAACAAAAACGACCAGACGCGTGATAACTCGTTTCTATTGGTCGATTCTGATGGTGTGACTCGGATTGTGAGCTCTTATTGGTCGATTCGGAGGATTGTGTTTACATTTAGTCCAGCTTGGATTTGAATAAACTTTTTTTTATTGGTTTTACGTAAATATCTTAAATATCCTTTAGCCAATTTAGTTGTAATATGGCGGAGTTATTTGTAGTGTTAATGGGGCTAATTAAGTTGTAACTTGATTAAATTTATTTATTTATATTTTTGACGAAAAAATTTATGCAATTTTTATATATTTTTCGGATTAAGCAGCGAGAAATACAACTTTTTTGTATCTTGAATTTTGTTTTTGAAAAAAAAATAAAATCCCTTTAATTGAATATCCCTGGACCACACAAGATATGCATTTAAGTGAAGAAGAGAAAAAAAAGTTGTATTTTGGTTGCTTAATCCGAAAAAAAATATAAAATGTACAAAAAAGTCAGTGACGTACGTTTGTTTTGTCAAAAATATTCGTTAAAATTTATTAAAGTTTATATGTTTATATTAACTTTTTGGGCTGTATGCAAAAACGTTGATTTATTTATATCAACTGATTTACGCATATCCACTGATTTAAGTTTGAACCAATTTGGCAACATAGCAAATTTTAAATGACAGTAAAGATTTGTAGGTTATCTTAAGCCTTTCGCCACCTGAGAATTATAGTGTTCTATTTGCATTTTCTTTTTTTTATTCAGGTTAGTCTTTTTTTAAGTATTAAAGATGCATATTGCTCTATCTATATATAATTGGGGTAGAAATTGTACAGTTTAAGCCTTAAACTTTACAATTTCTACCCCAATTATATATAGATAGATAAATATCATCTTTAAGACTTAAAACAAGACTAACCTGAACAAAAAAAAGAAAATGCAGATAGAACACTATAATTCTCAGGTGACGCTTTGTCTGACGCGCACTGGCCGGAAATAGCTGTTTTTGTCCAAAAACATAATGTTTTAAACTGACAAATTTTTTTATGAAACTTTATGTAAATGGGGGTGCTAAATGCAATGGAAAAGTTGTCAATTTGATATATATAATATTTTATTCAATTTTATATATATATAATATTTTATTCAATTTTTAATACATAACAAGGAGTTTATTGTAAATAATTAATATTTTGAGGAATTGAGAAGAATTTTGAGTGATTTCTAGTACTTAACAAGAAGTTTATCGTAAATAATACATTGAGTCACCATTTTGACGGTGCAAAAATTATTTAGAAAAATAACAACTTGAGTGAATTAAAGTTATGGTATTTTAAATCACGCATTTAATTTATTGACTAAAATAGACTAAAAATAAACTAATAGGGGTTTTCAACTTATTTGTTGTATCTACAGTCACATAATATAAAGGAGTTATAACAGTAATTCTAAAGCTTCATCACTAAATGGAAGTTTTTTTTTCTTAAATTGCGGTCTTAGGTTTGTAATAAATGGGTCCAAACTAACCAAAATGCCGTGAAAGACGTCTTCATTTGTAGCTAAGCGAGAACATTTGCGTTCTGAAGAATTTATAATCCTTGTTCTTGCATTCTTGAGCTTCCTCTGAAACCTATGGGAAGGGAGAAATACTGTAATGACTATAAGATTATATTTGATCCGTTTAGTAAGTAAATAGTAAAAGTCAAAGCTGCCCTGTATGCCTTTTTCATAAACTTATATCAAAACGAGGCAAACCGATAATTGGTATAAATAATGTCCCTGTTGGAAAAATTCTATTAATGCATGGACTAAATCGTCTGCAAAGGCTATTGGTCTGAATGTAAAAGAAAAAAGATAACAAACCATTCAAACAGGTCAACTACTATTAGCGATTTAGCAAAAAATGTTGTGCAAGAACAATTGCTGAAAATTACTGGTCATAACAATCCAAATTCTATAAAACCATACCTAAATATCGACCAAGATAAGATCATAAATACTATGTGTGGTAATAGATCTTCTATTGCAGAAAAAAATAGCCAATCTAATGTTGCGTTAAATTTTAATATCTTTACCTTTACCAGCTGTACTTTTAATAACTAAATAATTGTTGTGTTGCGAGTTATCTCAAAAAAGCGATTAAAAAATATATAATTAATTTAAGAGACTGAATAGGTTAAGTGTTATTTATTTATAGATTATTTATTTGTATACATATATATTTATAGATTATTTATTTATATATATATATATATATATATATATATATATATATATATATATATATATATACACTAGAATGGGCCAAAAAATCAACTATTTTCTTTTGAAAAGTATATCGAAAATATGGTTTGGGGTGACAAAAAAAAATTATTGTGAAAGTCTATAATATTAATATTAAGAGGTCTATCATCGCAATTTAAAATTTTTTTCCTCAGCAAGTTTTTGTCTCAGAACTCCCAAACCATTGAGTTTAACAAAATTGACTCGAAAATATTTTTTTAAGAAAATTAAATGCTCTACAAAAAAGGTTAAAGTGAAATTTTCCGTCAGATAAACCATTTCCTTAAAATCATGCCTTAAAAATTGGTAGGTATAGTTTTACATTTTGATCTTTTAAATTGGAATTTTGTAATTCATGTAAAAATCAGTACCCATAAAAAACCGATAAATATTCTTATGGGAAATCAAATGCTTTACAAAAAAGCCTCTCAACATTTTTGGCTAAATTCACTCAATCAAAAGTTATTCAAGGTTAAAATTTCGTTTTGACTTCAAATTTAACCTTGAATAACTTTTGATGGAGTGAATTTAGCCAAAAATGATAAAAGACGTTTTTGTAGAGCATTTGATTTCCCATAAGAATATTTATCGGTTTTTTTTTCAGGGTACTGATTTTTACATGAATTACAAAATTCCAAAGTTAAAAGATCAAATTGTAAAACTATACCAATTTTTAAGGATGATTGTAAGAAAACGGTCAATTTTATTAAAATCGATGATTTGGGAGTTCTGAGACAAAAACTTGCTGAGGAAAAAAAATTAAAATTGCGATGATAGACCTCTGAATGTTAATATTATGGACTCAAACTTTTACAATAATTTTTTTTTGTCACCCAAAACTATATTAATAATATACTTTAAAAAAAAAAAATAGTTGATTTTTGTGGCCCAGTCTAATATACACATACTTATATGTACATTTTTATATTTATTATTTGTAGTGGCCCATGAGGGCACATTGGGATGAATTTTTTTCTAAATAAAAAAAATAAATAAAAATTATACCCAATCTTTCCAAAATAGTGTTTTAAATTTTTTTTATTTATAATTTGTAATTTAATTAATAATATTTAAGTCAAAGCAAAGTTTTTCTTTTCTACAACACTTTACTTGTTTGCCTTATTCACTGATAAATACAGTTTTTTTTATATTTAGGCAAAAGCTCACATCGCCTAAATGGAATCGTTTTAGAGGCATAAGACTGAGATGGAAAGATAAAATACGACTGAATAATGTAATATGGAGGTGCTGGCATCTACAATGTAAGTAAGATAATAGAATAATTTTTCATAACTGGTGACAAAACAATATCTCATGAAAAATTTATTTTTAAACACAAAATTAAGGGCCAAATGCATAAGTGGATTTAAGTAAGACAAGGTAACACTGTAATTTTCTTTAAAAACTTTTATAAAATAAATTGGGTGATTATCTTTAAAAGTTCAAAAGACTTTTCTACACATTGGGGTAAAATCTATCAAAATATATTTAACATTTGTGTCATTAGAATCATAGATAACAAAGCCTTAGAATTAAATTTGGCCATAAAATCATCTGAAATGTTTTTTTATTCGGAATTTGATTATGTTGGTATTGTATGTTAATATAATTTGGTATTTTTAATATTTAAAATTGGTACTCCTGTTCAAGCCTTTAATCATGAAGCCTGCATGCCTTTAATTTTAATTTCTTTGACATTTGTCATTGAACTGTCAGAATTATAATAAACATACATTTGTATTTCTACACTGGGAATGCAAATTTGCCTCTTTTGGGCATTAAAGTCACCTATATATCATCAAAGGTAAAGTTATTGCATTTTTTCAACCTAAATTTGACATTTCAAAATACCTATACATATTTTTATGATTATTATAATATAACCACAATTATATTTTACACTAAACTAGTTTGTTCTACTCAATGCAGCCAATTATAAATTTAGAATTTGCCAACTTAACCCCCAAATTTTTGACGTCAAATTACGAATAAAAAAACTGATCTCTTAATTTTCATGTATCCGTTTGTCCGTCAGTCCGTTCATCCGGGAGCGCTCTTATTGGTCCAATTATAATTAAAAAATTATGACATTTTTTCTGTCCGTCAAGTTTTAACTTCGTACGTCTGACGGAGAAATTTAAAATAATTTTAACTAATCTGTCACTACACATCTGTTTTTGACACCTAACGTTATTTTAAGATAATTTATTTTCAAATATTTTTATATTTTTTCAATAAGATTGTAAACCGAAAATATTACGTTCGTTATGTGAATAATGTTTTACTGTTAAGTTTTTATTTAACGAAAGAATAACGAAAAAAAAAGAAAGGACAAACAAAAAAAAATTAAAACTAGAACTAAAAGGACCTGCTTTTTTTAAAACTATACATTTTAATGTATATTAGGGCTAGTATATTCTTTTTATAAGGTATATTTACCTACCTTTAAATTTATTAGACAGCTAACTGTTAAAGTTACAATTGTTGACATAATTGTAACTATGACAATTAAGCATTAGGTAAATTTAGTAAGTGAATATACTGACACTTAATTTCTATTTGTCGCAAAATCAATCCGTTAAACGTCATTAAAAAACGTATACATGAAAATTAGAACATTTCTTATCGGACGATTTTATTGAAAAACTGACATACGGATGACGGACAAACGGATACATGAAAATTAAGCTTTAAGATATGTTTTTAATTGTAAAACAAACGCTCGGTATAATATTTTCAAATTTTAAACAGTACATTTGGATTTAAAAAAACCGTGTAGTTTTTCACCACTGATGGTAGCAATCCTGTAAAATATACGTACAATATTAATTGTTAAAACAATCTAAATAATTATTATTAGAGCAGTGCTCTTTATTTTATATAAATTTTTAAATCGCAAATATTTTACCACAAGACCACCAATAAATTTTCAACAAAATTTATTTTTTGATATTTTTTTGGTTAGTTATTTGTGTGCCAAGGCCAAAAATTTACTTTTTTTGACGAGAAAGGAGACGACAAATAACACTTTTTGGCAGTGGTGTATAAACAGTTTTATGGCGACCTTCATTACAATCATTTTATTAATGATTTATTTATAATTATCAATAAAACTTACAATAATAAAAGCGGCCGAAAAATTAACATCTCAATACTATTAATTGGGATATTGTATGTTCTAGTCAAGATATAAATATAAGTGTTAATTCTTTTTATGAAATTTTAAATTATATGTTTTATGTCCCCAAAAAAATTAGCAAACTGATCTAAAAAATAAAATTATTCAGAAAAATATTGCTCATAAAGCATATAAAAAATCTCGAAGTAATTGTGCGTGGTCGCCTTTAGATAAACTACCAAACAGAAGGTACGCTAACTTAATATTTAAAAATACTCACTTAAACTCGATTATAAAAACCAAGTATTCAAAGTAACAATTAGGCTTTAATATTATTAAACTCATAGAATCTTTAACAAAAGGACTTATATAGCCAAAATTGAATAAAAAACTGGCACATACACCGATAAACATTTAACTAAAAAAAAAACTAAAACAACATAAAGGAATCTAAAAATGTATCCCAATTGATTGTAAAATATAGTAAAAAACAGAAGTCTTTCTTAACCGAAATCATTTCTAACTTAAATGTTAATATAATAAATAAAAGTAAAGAGGTGAAAACTGAATTAAAAACAAAATATCAAGTGTAAAAACGTACTTAAAAACAACCGTAGGAGACTAAAAACGTATATCAGAACTAGAACAGCAAAACAGAGCATTGCACCAAACTAATTTAACTCTTCAAACGAGATTAAGAAAAAATAATCTGGTGATTTTTGGATTGACAACCGAATGTGATATTTTAATTGAACAAATTATCAAATTAGGACATGGTACAGTAATTTTACTCAAAATTATATGTAGAATTTAAACATCGGATATTTTGTTTCATACATTATTGGAAGATGTGTACTTTATGTTGAAATATTTAATAAATAAAAATATTTTCAAATTTGTAAGATATTTAATTAACATATTAAATCCGGTGTTCCTATTGAGACACCCTTTATAATACACACATTCTCACTTGAATGCAGTTTTTTGCGTCAATTCGCAAACTTTAATTTTAAAATCATACAATTATAAATAATATTTATAAATATTAGAACTAATTCTAATTTAGAAGTATAAAAAATAAAAAATTAACTGAATTAGAAAGTTATTGGAACAATTTACGCATACATTTGATTGTATAGTTTTGTCAGAAACGCCAAACTAATGCAGAATTTATAAAACTGGATAGATATAAGATAATATGAAGGCATTTTTAACCAGAATGATGCGGATATTATGTTTGCTAAAGAAAGTCTAGAGTTCTCTTATAAAATTGATAATGTAGGTGAATACAAAGTTATAAATACTATAATTAATATTTTCAATACTAACGTAAATTTAGTAGGAATTTATAGACTGCACGGGATAAATTTAGCACAATTTTGGTATTTTAAATTAAATTGTTTAAATTTAGGTGTGTGTATATTTACAGGTGACACAAATAATAATAATTTATATTAAATCCAAATGGAGCAGCTAGCGATTATCTTAACGTCATGGAGGAATATGGCTTTAAATCAACAATTAATGAAAGAGAACATAGTAACGAATAATCTTGAATAGATCACTTGTTTTTAAAGGCAAAAAATAACCTGGAAGAATTTACTCTACCGGTCATAATAAAAACAAAAAAATGAAGCTGATACATTATAAAGAAAAATTTATTAAAGAAATAAATTAAAAAGATCTTAACAAAAATTTGGTTTATATAAACTGGAATGCAGAACTGTATCAAGAAGTAGAACCTGCAAGGGAAAATTTTATTAATATTTTCAAACAAAATACATATAATTAAAAATACAATTTATAAAAAAAAAGGAAAAAAGAAAAAGGAAAATGTGATTAACAAAGGGACTAATTAACTCCATTAACTTTAACAGGTATAAACTGCTAAAACAATATAAAATAACAAAAGAGATAAGCTTTAAGCTACAATATACTGCGTATATAAATAAGTTAAAAAAAATTATAATTAAAGCAAAAACAATTACTTTAAACAAATAACAAAAAACAGCCCCAAAAATAAAGAGCTTTGGAAAACGATAAATGGTATAAGAAACAAAAATATAGCCCCCAACGATATAAAAAAAAATTAGGGATGAATCCAAGACAAGACAAAAATTAGTAATATTCTTGATAATTACTACATAAAAATTGCATAAAACTTGGCAAAAAAAAATTAAAAGACCTTTAAACTATAAAAAAGATGTTTAAAATTAAACAACTATGTTTCTAATGCCAACCAATCTCACAGAAATTAACTAAGTCATAAAATGATTAAAAAATAAAAAATCTCATTAAAAAATATTTCAGATTTAATAGCAAATCCCTTTGCCTTATTGACAAATAAAATTATAGAACCTGGAGTTTGTCCATCTGCATTTTAAACAACCCTAGTAATACTGCTATATAAAAAAGGCGATAAACCGGATCCAATTAATTATAGACCCATAAATTACAAATTTAACAACAAAATTTTAAATGTTAATCAAAGATAGGATGGAAGGCTAAGATTTAAACTTATGCATCAAATGTCAAAAAATGATTTGATTTTTCAATTTTTTACATATTATTAACAATTATCACACTATACCTTTTACAAACATTCTTTTAGTTAAATCTTAATTATAATAGAGTGTTCTTGATCTTAATAATAAAGCAATATCTATTTAAACAATGTACTATTATTTAAATAATCTTAAAATTTAATTTTTCATGGGAGATTTCATTTTGTGTCACTGGTTATGTAACACCCTGTATAATTAAATATAGTACTAATTTATTTTTAATATTAAATTATAAAATGTACAATTTTAACAAGCCCTCAATTAAAAAAAATAAAGACAAACAAGATATGTTTTTAAAACTGATTCCTTAATACCCTTTATACAGGGTAACTTGAAACTTTGAAATATCTCAGTTAGTATGCATTTTAGGAAAAAATAAAAATTAAATGATTTGAGGGGGAAATCAATAAGTACTAAAATTGGTCCTCATACTCTACTCCTTATAGAGGGAACAGGGGGTAACTGAAAAATTTCCAATGGAACACCCTATTTTTTATTGCAGATTTGGATCATTCGACTAAAAATAGGTAGATTTTGTCTAAACATTTTTTCATATTTGTAATAGATGGCGCTGTTATGAAAAAAAATCAATTTTGATCAATTCTTCTTATACGATTCTGCAATAATTTTTCTATAAAAATATAACTTTTTTTTGGTAATAATTATCTTATTTTAAATTAAATCTGATTTTCTTAAGTACCCACGATTTTTTAACTAATATTTAAGTTTCCTTTGGTTTAAGTTTTATACATTATTTCATTCAGTGATAAGTATCAATTGCGCACCATGGTCACTTTCTACCTGCCAGCATTAAATCCTTTAATTTAAAGGATTATTGTACTATTTTTAATAAAAATACCTCATTTAAGGTTAAAAAAACGTGTCAATTAATTAATTTAATCCTAATTGAGGTATAAAAAAATGGTATTTAGTTATAAATAATAATTATTATTGAGGTATAAAGAAACTATTTATGCATAGTTTAGCATTATTTAATCAATTTAGTTCGAAGATTAATTTGCAAACAAAAAGACCTCCTTTCGTTAAGCAGTTATTCATAATGGATTTTTTAACAGTGGAAGAAAAAATAGAAATGATTTTGATTTATGGAGAAGCAGGCAGGAATCTTGATGATGCTGTTAATGTCTACGCTCAGCGTTTTCCGGAAAAAAATCGATCACGTAATTCACGTAATTCACTGTACGTATTTCACCGTACAGTCAAGCAGTTTACTTCAAACGGGAGTGTTCAACCGAAAAAAAAAGTTCGTCGAACAACCTACTTAAATTAAAATTTGATAAATAAATTAAAAAAATAAAACCAAAAATTTTATTTAAAAATTATTGGAGAATCGTATACAGAAGAAAAATCGAACAAAATTGATTTTTCATTTCATTCATCTATTACAAATATGAAAAAATGTTTTAGACAAAATCTACCTATTTTTAGTCAAATGATCCGATTCTGCAATAAAAAATAGGGTGTTCCATTGGAAATTTTAAAGTTAGCCCCTGTTCCCCCTATAAGGAGGAGAGTATGAGGACCACTTTTAGTACTGATTGATTTTCCCCCTCGAATCATTTAATTTTTATTTTAAACATTTTTTCGTAAAATGCTTACTAACAGATATTTCAAAGTTTCAAGTTAAATGACACCCTGTATAGTTACCGATTCTGTCTATCTACTGAGGTAGAATTCTATCTTAATGGATTTTCATAATGTTGATGATTAAACAAATCATTATTTTTATTAAGGTGACACCCGGAACAATGTTCACTTTTAAATAACCAGCATAACCTTAATTTTTTATCAAAGATATATTAAGTTCATCCAATTATAGACCAGTGCAGAAGCCTTTAAAAATGGTAAAAAGAGAAAAAAAAATTACAGTAGGATAAAACCCATTGGAAAAGGAGGGGAATATAATAAAAATTAAAGGAAAAATAAATTACGGGCGATCTGAGTTCGGGAAGTGGGAGGGGGGGGGGGGGTTAAGGGTAAAAAATGGTTTATCTCGATTTCCGGCAAAACTACAAGTCCTATGGAAAAAAGTTAAATGTCAAAGTTGTAGGTAATAAAAAGATCTACAACTTTTGTATTTACAAGTTTTTGGTTTTTTATTTTTATCTTTTTCAAAAAAAAAAATTTTTCCACAAATTTGGTGAAAACTTACCTTTTTATGTCCCAAATACACTGTAATTTATTTGATTTGAAATATTTATTATTTCGCCTTATTTTGACTTAATATCAAAAAAGCACCCTAATTTTCAATCGAAAATTCTCGCGTCAAAATATCAGCTTTTTTCAAAAAGTCGGTGTGCTTTTTGTTCGATGAACTCTCTCTACTTTCTGATGGTGTAAAAAAAAATATACAATACTATGGTAAATGTTCTCAGAAAATACAAAAAATATTATAATGAATAACGTAATCAGAAGGAAGTATCTAAATTCAATAGTATGATTTACATATATTTTTATATTTTATGAGATTTTCTGACATAAATGTTATTAGAATTTAATAAGTAAACTTTTTAACTAAAAAAAATTTCAACAATCCCATTTTTTTTATGAAATTGTACATAATGATTAAAATAAATTTTCGAATTCGAGTTTTTTTCGTTATTCATTATAATATTTTTTGCATTTTCTGAGAACATTTACCATAGTAATGTATATTTTTTTTACACCATCGGAAAGTAGAGATTTCAACGAACAAAAAGCACACCGACTTTTTGAAAAAAGCTAATATTTTGACGCGAGAATTTTCGATTGAAAATTAGGGTGCTTTTTTGATATTAAGTCAAAATAAGGCGAAATAATAAATATTTCAAATCAAATAAATTACAGTGTATTTGGGACATAAAAAGGTAAGTTTTCACCAAATTTTGTGGAAAAAAAATTTTTTTTGAAAAAGATAAAAATAAAAAACCAAAAACTTGGTTTTTTGAATTTTTCACATAAATTTGAGGTTATGTAAAAAAATTGTAATTACAAAAGTTGTAGATCCTTTTATTACCTACAACTTTGCCATTTAACTTTTTTCCATAGGACTTGTAGTTTTGCCGGAAATCGAGATAAACCATTTTTTACCCTTAAACCCCCCCCTCCCACTTCCCGAAGTCAGATCGCCCGTAATTTATTTTTCCTTTCATTTTTTTATATTCTTCTCCTTTTCCAATGGGTTTCATCCTACTGTTATTTTTTTTGGTTTCAAAAATTATCGACCCTGGTCTATTAATGTCCATTGTTCATTCAACTATGTTGATAAATATCTGGAAAAATAACAGCGCCTTTTGTAATAATTTACTATTTAACATTTTCAATTTTTAGTTTAGTTTTTAGACATTGCAAAGGTTATACATATATTTTTTAAATTGTATGTATTTTTACTGAAATGTACTATTGGTTCCTAATATAATTAAATTATTTGTTGTATTATTTCTTGTTATACCTCGGCTAAAAACGTCATTTTTTCAGTTATAAGAAAAGAAAACACATTAATTTGCCAATTTGCTTCCCCACTGGATGTTGATACACACAATAAACCGGAGGTGAGTAGCGAAAACACATCAATTCCATCATAACTATTATTAATTTTTAAACAGATTTTCAATAAATAATGATTGCGAATTTCGAACTTTAATTCCATTTTCGTGGTTCACTTACTAACATTATTAAATTTTTATGTTCATTAATCATATTTCGTTAATATTTACGAAAATATCGTACGTCAATCTATGATTCGTATTTACAATATCTTAACTTTGTTTACAGTATTATTTTTAAAACGTTTATTTCCCATCAGTGCATCTAAAAATAAGCTTTGTGCCTTGATGCATAAGTCATGTTTTAATTATTTTTATAGATACCTATTCAAACATTAAGTTGATTTAGCCATAATATTTAATTTTTTCGTAACGTCTTATACAAAAATCATTTATAATAATGTTATACTGCAAGGCAAAGTATATTTTGTACGTCCTAAAATTTTAAGCTTAACCAAATAACACCTTGTAAAATGTTGTGATTAAGTTTAAGTGTTGAGTGGTTAATATTTATAAAGATTTATGATTTTGACAAATCATTTTGTTTTATAATGTATCTTAATTCCCAAAGTATTGCATTGTTTAATTTAACTTTTATTGTATTTATAAAAGATTAATACAAAATAACTTTTAAAGTGATTGATACATTTGTAATATAAATATATAAATATCGTTGCCGAAGGAAGTATATGGGGCAATCCATGCCAAATCACCGAGGTTTTGACCCGACCCCCTTCGATTTCGCTGAAACTTTTTTATCATTTTCTATCCTACCAAAGACATTTTTCTGAATTTTTTCAGATTTTTTTACTCGACCCAAAAAAAGTTACGAATTTTTGAAAAAAACCGCTCTTTTTTTTTAAATTGCAATAACTTTTTCACAAATTGACCTTTCGGCACGTTTTTTTTTTTTTGAAATTTTTGTTTTTAAATGTAGTTTTCAGAAAAAAATACAAACAATTTTTCGGAAGTCACGATATATGAAATATTTCAGTTTTTTCAATAAAACCGTCATTTTTTCGAATTCTGAAACCTTCGATTCTCAATTTTTTTGTCTCAAAAAAAACTTCAACTAAGACAGTATTTAACCCCACTATTCCCATTTTGTGCCGACTTTCCATTCTATTGTTTTTTTTTCGATTGAAAATAAAGAAATTTCTCAATTTGGCTTATTTTTTATGACTTTGCGTTGAGGTTTTTTTTATTGTTTTTAAAAGCTCAGAAGTTGAATAAAATTGGATAAAAACAACCGTAACTTTTTTATTAAAGTATTGTTTTTACATCGTTAAAAATCTAAATATTTTAATTATTTTCCTCGGTTTAGCGATTGTTTTCTTGAATTCTTAACCGTACAATGTACGTAAACGTAAACTCTTTTTAAGAAACAAAATAGTCTAATTCACAGTTTAAAAAAATATCAAGACATTAGTTTATTAAAAGTGATATTTTTTAAAAAATTCACATTTTTATTATTTTACCACCTCTTTTAAATAAAAAAAAACAACGAAACGTCAAGTATACCTACTTTAAAAAACATATATTTGAATGTGATTATAATCGTCTTTATTTATAATTTAATAACACAAATTCATTCTTTAACACAAGTTCATTACCATCAGTCACTGAACATCCACCACAACCTTTCATACTTTCTTTATGTTTTTTATTACCATAACCTTCCGTACCTTCTTTAATGCAAGTTCATTCTTTAACATAAGTTCATTCCTTAAGACACAACATTGTACGGTTAAGAATTCAAGAAAACAATCGCTAAACCGAGGAAAATAATTAAAATATTTAGATTTTTAACGATGTAAAAACAATACTAATAAAAAATTTACGGTTTTTTTTATCCAATTTTATTCAACTTCTGAGCTTTTAAAAACAATAAAAAAACCTCAACGCAAAGTCATAAAAAATAAGCCAAATTGAGAAATTTCTTTATTTTCAATCGAAAAAAAAAACAATAGAATGGAAAGTCGGCACAAAATGGGAATAGTGGGGTTAAATACTGTCTTAGTTGAAGTTTTTTTTGAGACAAAAAATTGAGAATCGAAGGTTTCAGAATTCGAAAAAATGACGGTTTTATTGAAAAAACTGAAATATTTCATATATCGTGACTTCCGAAAAATTGTTTGTATTTTTTTCTGAAAACTACATTCGAAAACAAAAATTTCAAAAAAAAAAACGTGCCGAAAGGTCAATTTGTGAAAAAGTTATTGCAATTTAAAAAAAAAAGAGCGGTTTTTTTCAAAAATTCGTAACTTTTTTTGGGTCGGGTAAAAAAATCTGAAAAAATTCAGAAAAATGTCTTTGGTAGGATAGAAAATGATAAAAAAGTTTCAGCGAAATCGAAGGGGGTCGGGTCAAAACCTCGGTGATTTGGCATGGATTGCCCCATATATTTTTAGAATGTATATTGCTTTTTGATTTTTAAATTAGATATTTTTAATTTAAACCTAGTTTTTAAAAATAAACATGTATTAATCACTCTTAACGTGGACTGTAATGCTGACTCTTTTTAAAATCTTTTGGGGATTAATCCTTGAAAATACGTATTTTAACTTATAATTATTTTAGTTTATAAATTATATTCTACAAAATACTAATTAGTATTGAATTAATTTTTATGTCAACATCATTAAGGTGAGGCTAGGAATTGAAAGTTGCTTAAATTGTGTCATCTATAAAAATAGTATCATTGGAAGTAGGCTTAGAATGTTGCGCTTCATCTTGCTGTTAAGTAAACTGTGGACACTTCTCTAAAATAAAATTAAAATTAAACAATATTTATTTGTTTAAACAATTTAACCCTGGCTTATTTTAAGGCAACGTGGTGTAAGGAGAAAAGAAAGTTTTTTAACTACCGAAAAATCAATTTTTGTTTTTTTATATACGCTAAAGAAGTATCGCTAGTAGGGCTGTTATCATCGTAACAAAAGTAATACTTTTAATAATCAGCGTGTGTTGCAAACGAGTGTTTTTGAGAATAAAGCCGGAAAACGTTAAAAAATATCGAAAAAAATCCTTGGCTCGATTTATTGTGTTGTTGGGTGTATTTCGAGAGAAAATCCTGGGTTGAGTTTTTACCGGTTTTCTAATAAACAATGTTAATCTGAATAAGGAAATAAATTGCATACAGTATCTGTAAATATAAATTGTACCTAATAGATAAAATAAATACACATTTTAGTAGTGATTAACGTGAAAAGTGTAAACATTTCAATTCAGTAAAAATCGTCAAACAAATAAGTCGTCTAAATTTAAACAGCATTTAGCATTATTAAAAGCGTTGATTAAGAAGTCTCAACTCAACGGTAAAATACCATTATATTATGTAGGTATTATATATAATATTATGTTGCCATGAATTCCTAGGTATATTTTGTTGTTTAAAATGCAGTTGCCGGCGTTTTTTCGAGAACTAATTTTTAAAAAATGTCTAAACTTAAATATAAATTATACTAGGTAAAGTTTTCATTAGGTAATTCTGCACCAACAAATGTACTTACCGAATTGGATCCTTTGGCAAAACATGAAAATGCAACGATTTAGTTATTGAATTTTATTTACAATTAAAAACACATTAATTCACCATGATCCCTTAGATAAAATACACACACTAACGTAACTATATAAGCATTTAAGCGTTTAGTTTTATATTTAAACTTTAAAAACCCTTTAAATAAAGTCTGAACAACGTCAAAGTTGGTAAAAATAACTGATAAAATCTGTCAAAATGTAAAAATCTACTATTAATTTTATTTTGAGCTATAATCAATAGCAGGTCTATTCAGGGTTGCGCAACTTAAAATAAAATCTTAAAATATGGAATTATGTAGCTATGGCACTCGAAAAACTGATCTAAGGTGTCAAGTTTTGCAAAATTAATTATCTTAATTAAATTTTTAGGATTTTTTTGTAGCAAGTAATAATAATAATTAAGTACGTTTATGTTTAATTTTGGCCATTTTACCTATTAACTAAATAAAGTTAATATTTTTTAAATTAATTATTAGGTATATCTAAAAAAGGATATCATATACCTAGATTAGGGTGTCCCAAAAAAAAAGAATATATTTTTTTTTCTTGTCTCTTGTAAAAATATGTTAGTTTATCATGCTGTTAAAGCCCTTTCAAAATATCAGCTCGATTAAAAATTTTGTAGGGGTCGCTCAAGATTTTTAAAAATTTTCAAAATCGTCAAAAATTAAATTTTTGTTTTATTTTAATTCCTTTTCTCGTCTCGATATTATTTTTTAGGTTGAAAATAATAAAAATTCTGTAAATTTCAAATCAATATTTTGATTTCTAAAGGTCGCTAAAAGTTCGTTGATATTTATATTCAGAGGTCGCTCGAAAACATTCAAAATACTCTACTTTGAAAGTTAAAAAAATCTTGAGCGACCTTTGGAAATTAAAATATCGATTTGAAATTTTCAGAATCATTATTATTTTTAAATTAAAAATAATATCGGAACGAGAAAAAAAATTAAAATAAAAAAAAATACAATTTTTGACGATTTTGGTAATTTTTAAAAATCTTGAGCGACCCCTAAAAATTTTTTAATGGTGCTGATCTTTTGACAGGGCTCTTAAAACATGACAAACCAACATATTTTTACAAGAGACGAGAAGAAAAAAAATATTCTTTTTTTTTGGGACACCCTAACCTAGATGTCTTTCAGGCATTGGTGCTGTGGGCCATGTTAGTATTAAGTGCTCGCTCATAAAATAATGTTATCAAAATCTTAAAAAAATGCGATCAGAAAGCCAACCAATTATGTATAGGTTAAGAATGTCCTGAAATTATGATATTTTTTAATATTAAATAAATAATTTTCGTAAAAATCCAAATTCAGTTAAGTTAAGACATAACTTTTAATAGTCGTATTCCTGAATAACTTTAAAACCGTATTGTTAGCTGGGTTCTTTTTGACAGATCTTAGTTAATATAGAATATTTTACCACTCTTAAATTCGGACTTGGTAAAATAGAACCCCAATTACTTGAAATAATGTTTAAAAATTTAACCTTCAAAATGCTTGAAATCGTGAAACAAAAGTAAACAAAGACCATTCTTATATTCTATACTTTAAAGTTAGAATATAATATTTTTAAACGTTTTTAAATAATAATTTATAAAATACCAAACAACGACTAGAATTACAAACTTGCCTCGATGCATGCGTACGATTGAAAACTTTATTGAGAGCCTCTTGCATTTCCTGAGAAAGTTGCGTCGTGTCACTAGGATTTATTAATTTTTGTCGACTTGTCTAAATTAAAATTAAAAATTAAAAAAAACAATTAATATATACTCATTATATAATTATTAAGTAATTATTATTTTTAGGCGGTGGTATTAGAAGGCAAATACTGGAAGCGAAAATTGGCCGCTGTTACCGCCGAATACAAAAAATGGCGAATGTTCTATCGGAACCACGCGCTAGGCCATGCCGCCAAAGACACTTCAGATATGGTAAAAGAAACTATTAAAATCGTTATAAACTATTTTAATTTTACTATTTTAGCTGGACATGGACCTGTTGGTTTGGGATTCCAACAGCTCGGATAACATGATGATGGTAGATGAGGACTACATGGGTCTCATGAGCGATACACTTTTCACAACAATCACAAATCAGCCGTTTGTGTTTCCGGATTCAAGGGAGATTGGTAAGGATGATAATTGATTAAAACTGCGTAGGCCTAAAATATAAAAACAATTTCATTATAAATTTAATTCAAATTTTACCTTTTCTATGAAAAGTTTTCTTGTATAGGTATTATAACAATAATGGTTGTTATGATTTAAATTATAACAACCCTGATTATTATACCATACAAGAGCTAGCGACAAAATTTTTATTGAAACACTTAAGGGTTTAACTTTAATTCACTGGTATAAAGCACGTTTGAAATCAATAGTTTTTTTTATTTAAATCATGATTAAAATTAAAAATCACGTACTGTATTAAGGATAAAAAAAAAAGTTGTAGGTAATTTATTATGTATAATTTTGAGTCCACCGCGTCCGATACTGTAAACAAAATGAGGTGTGAAGGGGGGACAGACATTTTGGTGTTTAGGGGACAATTACGACCACTTAAATCTGTGTAAGTCTAGGTCTAGGTTCCTATGTTTATTTATTTCTCGATTAGTTTACATTTATTGGAACCGATCTCTTAAGTTTATGGATTTAATGACTTATTTGGTGATTGATTTATTTGTCTTGCTCAGCTATAATCCCGTGAATGCCAGCAATAAAAATTGGGACGGCTTGGTTTTATTGTTTTTTTTATTGTTTAGTTACTTTTGTCTTATTATTAATGTTGCTGTCGCTCTTTGTTTTACATTATTTTTTTGTTACTAGGGTTGTGTTTAAGCTCAATTCTTGTAAGTTCCATTGATTTTTTGTGACTTTAGCGATTTGGTCACTAACCCTTAGGACTGGTTCATTGGAGTATATATACTAACGGTTTCTTGGGGGCCGATTTTGTTCATTGGTTTTTGTTAGTTTGCCTTTTTTTCTTCCGATTTAATGTTCTCTTCATGTTTGTAAGCGCTTCTGTCTTCTTGTAATTTTAACTCCTGATTTGATTGGTTACTATGTTATTGAAGGCTGGCTTTTTTGATTATATATTTGTATTACTCTAGCTAGGGGCCATTTGATGGGTGTTACTTTTTCTTTTTACAAACAACGCAATAAACCCTTGTATGCCTTGTGCCTTCTTCCTTTGGTGGTTTGTGGTAGTATTGGGCCAGCATAGTCTACTCCAGGGTGTGTAAAGGGGTGCAATGGCGTTATTCTTGATGACGGTAGGTTTCCCATTTGTTGTTGCTGACACTACTTCGTATCTACTGCATGTTATGCACTGGTTTTTGACCGTCTTAACAGTTTTCTTATCCAGAATTTTCTTTTTATGTATGCCAAGGTTGCTTGGTTTCCCGAGTGTAACGTCTTCTGATCAGCGTCTTGAATTGTTAGCTCGATTAAATGACTTTTATTGCAGAATGTTCGGATGTTTTTCGTTGAAGGAAATTAGAGCATTTTCTAGTCGTCCTTCAACCCGCATAACATTGTTTTTATCCATGTATGGGTTAAGTACAACAATTTTACCATTTTTCTCAAACTTAATATTTTTTGTTTAAAGTGGACTCGTTGGGTTGTTTGAACAATATTGTATAACGTTATAGTTCTTGGGGGGTTAGCGTTGATGTAGCGTTTGCAGTTGGCAAGGACTCGCAGCATTATTGTTAAACTGGAAAATCCGAAACTGATTTTTTCAGTCATAGTCACTTGATTCTTTTTCTGTATGAAAGAATTATGTATGTTTTATATTGTCTTGTCTTTCTTAGCTTGTGACCAAGTCGTAGTTATTTCTTCATAAAAATTTTGTACTCTTCTTTCAATCTGGGATTTCGGGTGAATTTCCGTTCTAGTTGTAGCAGCCGAGCAGTGTAACGAGATTTTGACGCTCCAAGTTCTTAATCATCTTCTTTAAATGTTATTTGTACGGTATAGGATCCCTCTAGGATTTTTGTTGTTGTTGATTTGTAGAAGCTTTCACAAGTTTCCTCATCTTTGGTCATTATCTTTTGGTTGTTCCTAGAATTTTGTCAGCTGAGCCTCTTCTTTTACTCAGGTTACCGTTCTTCGAATTTTGATCGTCTCTTTGCTTGAACCTGTGTTCCCTAATATAATCCATCCAAACTTGATTCTTTGATCGAGTAGGTTGTAACCGTCATTTTGACTGTTGGACTTTCAGCCCATCATTAAAATTATCTACACTTTTATAAAATATTGTTTGCGTTTCTTTGATTTAACGTATAGTCTAATAAATGAAGAATATATTTGTCAATTTTAATGCCAAAATAATGTATAATAAATTAACTACAAACTTTTGTACTAAACATGTTTTAAAAAGTGGATGTAGGTTAAGTATTTTGTTATAATTTTCCCTGTATATTAACCAGGAAATATTTTTTTTAAGTCAATGATATAGTGAAAACAAAAACCTTTAGGAAAGATCTTTTAATTTGTCCTGACTTTCTGTCAATATTATTATCAAAATTATTTAATTTAAATTTAAACTGCTATTTAATATTTATATACAAATATTATTATTAATATTAAAATGTTTTAACAGCCAAAGCCGGTTTAGCAGACTTTATTCAACCTAGTTTGGGGCCATTACAACCTAATTTGGATGACTATATGGACACAATGGATCCATTTCAAGGTAATTATGTATTTTTTTTATTATAACGCTAATTTGTTTTGCTATCAATTTTTAGTCTTAATTGAAAGATAAATGTATATTAATATAGAAGGATTTCTAATGAAATTTGTAATAATATCAAAACAATAAATTTCTTATTTTTATGTCATTTGACGGCTATGTTAAACTTAACCATAACTAATCAATTGAGCGGTTCCGGAACCGCATTTCTTTGTTTACATAAATAACATGGAAACTAGTAATACTAATTTATTTATGTTTTCAGAGTTTTTAAACCATAGACTGCCTCCAGTGCCCGAAGAACAAAACGATTCATATTTCAAACCACATAGTTGGACATATCTAGAAGATCAATCATCTGTAAGTGCAGCCCCTTTATAATTACAACTACACGAAAAAGGCTTTGATTTGTATTTTTACTAGTATTAATACCCTAAAAAAGCAATTTATCATAACAAATAAAACATGTCTCAGACATTGCCAGTTTATCCTAGGGACGGATTCAGAAAAAGGCGGTCAAAAGTATTTTTCGTTGGTCTATGATTTTGAATTTTGGATATGCTAATATAGTATATAATTTTAACGAAGAAACATTTTTCGAGAGTGTAAGGAAAGGAGATAATTAAAAAAAAAATGGATTAATTTTTTAAACAATTTTTATATGAAAGGGAATATAATATTAGGGAGTAAGGAAGTTTATTAAAATAATACACAGAAGCAAAAAATAAATTTTGAGCTGCTTACATTTTGATAAAAGGTACAAGGGGTGTTGGTGCAAATTAAAATTTCGCGGTTTTATTACAAAATAATAAAAACAGAATATGCCAACTCAACCCCCTTCATAACCCAGAAAACTAAATAATAAAACTATGATAGTTTTACAAACTTTTTTTTCCTAACATTAAGAACTCCATTTTAACTGATTTCAAAAATGTAATAATTATAATTATTAGGTTTTCTCTAGGACGTCTAGGATTTAAAATAATTTCGTAATAACATGCTCTGCTCATTCACCCCAAGATCATATTTATCTTAACAATATGACATTTTAAATACTAATACTAAAACTAAAATTTTAATGTATTTTATGTAAAAAAACAAACATTTTTTGTAGTTTATTTTAATTATTAAATTGAAAGGGCTAAGTCATATTTTTTATCCAAATTAAGCCCTCAAAATTTAATGCATTGCATAATTTTGCTTTTTTCTACCTTAAATTTATTAAATCGTATCAAATATCGAATTGGATTATAGTATTATTGTACTTAATCCCCATCATCGTCGTACATCTTTTGCTGCAAATTCCAGCAAATGTCTCCTAGCAATGAATCCAACTTTTTTCCGCTATACCCATAGATATCTACCAATGGTCTAGATTTGCAATTACTTGGTGAAATCGTTCTCCATGTTCATCAGTTCGGCAAATTTATCAGGAAGAAAAAAGAAAATGTATTTTAAATGACATATTAACGCTAATTTTTTGCGAAAAGGAAAGCATTTTTTCAATGAATTAGCGCCAATTTTAGGCCCGTTATGAACCAAGAACATTTTCAATGACAGGTTTAACACTGCCATATGCGACAAGCTGGTTAACTTTGAAAGCATTTTTGAATGCTTGATCTTTCATTATACATCGTATATCAGGTCCACTTAATATTCCTGCAAAATTAAAGTAGTAGGTATATCTAATTTTGTAATGAAATATTGCGTTGGTTTTTCTTGGGCGTAAAGGTACCGCAACAAAAACAAAACAAATTTACGACGACATAAATGTTCGTCTCGTTTCTCTTTCTCTGCTACTTCCATTTCCACTTCCATTTCCTGATCTTTTTTCATTTTTGGTTCTTAAAATCACTTTCAAGTAAAAATACAATTTAAAGTTTAAATTTTAAATGTCAATAATTAATAGATGCACTTTAGTGTGCCTGAACGATAAAGTAGATAAAGGCGCCTTTATACTTCAATTCGATCTAAAATTTTGATAAGACTTAATAAATAAGATTCGAGATTAAATCTTTGGGTGCTTTAGGCATGATGTAAATAAAAAAATATCAAATAATAGTCGAAGAGTAAAGCTTATACCGTAACCCATTTACTTTGTTGCCTTTTCAATTTAAATAGTAATTAAAAAAGCGACACAAAAATTTTAAAAAATTATACTTTTTACCAAAAAAATTTGACATTTATCTACCGATGGCTTTGTATGGAGTCAACGTCAAAAATATACTGAACATCCAAAATAGATTTAAGGCAAAATAATTTAATAAATAATCAAAATATTAACAAAAAACTTACATTTTGAGATAATTGGGCAGAGCATTTTATTACGCAATTATTTCGAATCCTAGACGTCCTGGAGCAAAACGAGTGGCATTTTTGAAATCAGCAGCCCAAAATTAGGTTATATAGGTGGGCGTACTCAATGTTAGTAAATCGAACTATCATAGTGTAATTAACCGGTACAACCAATCAAAGAAAGTCTTCACAACTTAACTATTAACTGCTGAGTAAAATTTACACATTAGAAGAAGACTGCTTCAAAAGAATGGTGTATAGGAGGGTGAGGCTACATGAGGTTAATTTTGTCTAAATACGAATAAATGTCCACGTCACGTCAGGTATTATTCTGCGACGCTTTGACCCTTTTAAAGTGAAGGTCATCCCCGATAGCCCTCCTAAACCATTATAAATAAATAAACAAATAAAATATCAAAGCAATCTTAACCCAAATTGCAAAACATAAATTCCTTTTTAAAAACTTAAAAATATGTATCTGGAACTTAACGTAAGCTACAGAATTTTTAATATGTTCTTTCGAACTTTAATATCGAGGCCTAATAAAATTCAAGGCCAACAGAATAGGCTTTGTTTACAAATACTTCTGTATAGCCACTTATAGGTTTCGTACCAAGATATTTGGAAAGTTCGTGAATATTGCTTACCCTGCTTCTTATCGTTAAATATTGATGACAATTTTGGCGTCGGACCACTGTCTTTTTTCAGTTTTTTATTTAAATAAACTATACACATACAAAAAATATTTTTAATATAAAAAAATATATATATTTTTTGTCTATATAATTAAAGTTTAAACAATAATGTTTCATGAGCAGAAAAAACAATAGTTTAGGTCAAGCCATTAAAAAGTTGGAGACTGTAAATTTTATTAAAAATGTGTCCAGATTTAATTATTCTCAAATAGACTTAAGCTTAGCTTTAAGAACTTTGCAAAAATATTTGGTTAAGTTTAAAATATGGATATCTAGGATTTTCTACCTAAAATTTAAATTTTTTTCAACCAAGTTGAGATTTCGGCTTTTACCCAATCCGTCCCAATGTGGGTTGGGAAATTTTTAAAACTTGTTTAAAATAAGTTATTTTTAAATTTTATTTGGTTAATTCACTGTTTACCTATTACCAATAATAATTATATTATTAATAATAATAATTTATTATACACTCACGTGCAAAATAATCGATCCACACAAATTTTCGATGAATTTCAATCGCAAATAACTTTTTTATTTGATGTCGGATTTAAACGAATATTAAAGAATATTGTAGATAAATTAATGGACAATCGCTCACATTTTAAAAAATTACTAAAAAATAGACGTACGTTTATAATATACAGGTTTAAACAAAAATATGTTTTTTTTACCATAAGTTTAAGACACTCTGTAGAGTGGCAAAACCGTATATTGTTCTAAATTAAGTTTTATTTATCAAGTCACATCTATTCTGCCGTGCTTAATGAAAACGCCGTAACCAACAATTTTGCAATTTTTGGTTTGCGGCATTTTCTACTAGAAAAATTCATCCTGCGTCTATCCCCGGTACTCAAAAAACCGTATCTATATATATACGGTTTTTTGAGTACCGGGGATAGACGCAGGATGAATTTTTCTAGTAGAAAATGCCGCAAACCAAAAATTGCAAAATTGTTGGTTACGGCGTTTTCATTAAGCACGGCAGTATTCTTAACAGTTTTGTTTTTGGTTCACCTCGATATATTTATTTTTGTAGAAAATATGGATTTTTTTAAAAAACATTGCAATTTCCAATATTTTTCTGTATGAAGAACTAAGGTTGCTATGGTTCATCCATAGGCTATGGAGAATGACAGTGACAGTTTTGTTGAATCATCCCATACTTGGACATGTCATACACGGCTTTCAAAAGCTATCAAATTGTTTTTTGCAAATTAATGTTTAAATTTTGAGGTGTCTTCTTACTTTATAAAATGGATATGTCTCCGACTGATGTTGCCAGAGCTATTAATTTAATCCAGGATGGACGGTCACAGTATTAAGTGGCAAGTGTTTTAAACGTCATAAGAAGTATCAGTCGGAGAGAGGCTTCGCTATTGTCCAATTAAAACTCCTTAAACGCGTACCGCCTGTCTCTACATTTAGACATTCGGAAATTCCAATCCCACTAGCCTGATCTGTCAATTCTTGAATATAAATAAATATATGGGTTTTTTGTTAAATGTGCTTTAGCTTTTATAGTATAATTTGCTACCCTGTAGTAACAGTAGGTACAACTATTTTTATAAATTTTCCAGATGCGTCATGAAAAAAAACGGTCCGTTTTTTTCAGGTTTTTTTTCATTGTTTTTTCAAATGGTTTTTTTCACATTTCAGGTTTTTTTTTCAAGATTAGTCCCATTTGCTCAATTTTTTATGTATCCAATGACAATTAGTAAATGTAAATACAGTCTCGCGCTATGCACGCGCCACAACCACGCTGGTTTTGATTTGGTCCTAAAAAAAGTAACTACCTATAAAATTTTTGATTCAGCGCTTGATTTTTTAAATTTTTTTTTTTTAATAGCAAATTCTTGTAGAGGGGCATTCCACGTTACTCGGTAATTTTTGTCCCGCCCGTCACAATTAAAAATTGTGAGTAAAAACCACAAGTTATAAAATTATTATTTTATAATATTATTTTTATTGTGCTTATAACTTATTAAAAGCATAATAAAACAATATTTTTAAATAAATTTTAGAACGTGTAGTTTTTACTCACAATTTTTAATTGTGACGGGCGGGACAAAAATCCCCGAGTAACGTGGAATGACCCTAGAACATTTATTCATTGGTGGTTAAGTCAGTACATTCCGTGGACCAAAAAATTCGTTAGAATTGAGCGTTGCACGTTTTCCATCTAAAAATCTCAAAACTATAAACTTCAAGCTTCAAATTGCTTTTTTATGGCTCCAATACGACCATTTTTAACAAAGATACAGCTATCCGAAAAATCGCAAAAAAAATTTTATCTTTTAATTTTTTGTATTAGTGTAGAAGTTTTACATTGCTATTGGTTTTTAATGTGGAAACTACCAAATAATAAGAAATCAGATTTTTTAGTCTTGGTCAAAATTTCAATAATAAAAAATGTAATATATTTTACATTTTACTCAAAATTTCATTTTGAAAAAAAACAAAAAAAAACCGTTTTTTTTCTAGGATTTTTTTCATGTTTTTTTTTCACATCTGAAAAAAAACGTTCTTTTACATCTCTATTTCCAGGTAAACACAATACCCCAACCGGAAATGGTGCAATACCAGCAACGAATCTCAATCAATAAGCAGTCGACGATTGCGATCGAAGACTCGCAGCAATCTATACAACAGACAAATTTTGGTAACATGTTGATGCAACCAACTGTCGAACAGTATGTGGTCCATGCCACGCAACAGCAGCAACAAGAGCGGCAGCAACAACAACCGCCATCGTACCATTCGACAGTGATCTCGAAAAGCTCAAAGCCGATCAAACCTTCGACGACGAGGAGTAAACTGGACCAGCAGCACAATTTGTACAAACCTGTCGATGCCATGTATCAAACCTATCAGTCGCAAACAGTTCTTATTAACGATCAAAGTAAGTCTATTTTGTATTTACAATCATACGGAAAAGTAACACACGCAAATTAAAAAAATATTATATATCTTATTAGTGCCAAAACTACAACAAAAATTTGCGATATTGTCGAGAAATACCTGTATATTTCTATACCGGGAACCCCATTTTATCCTTCATGGGTCAAAGTCAACTATTTTCAGACTTTTTCATGGAGCGATGCACAGCACATGAAGGATAAAATCGAACTCCCTTTGTATGTTAGTGCTTCAAAGGGTTTTGCTCTGGCTTGTATTTTGTCCCCCTTTGTAAATTAGTTCTTTAAAGTGTTTTGCTCTGACTTGATTTTTCTTCATTGCCATCTGCGTGTGGTGTTTCAGGTTTACTTTGTTGTTCAGTTGGATGTCAAGGTATTAAACTGTTGCTTTTTTGATGTTTTTACATGGGTTAAAGCAGTATCATCTGCGAATTGATTAATGTAACTTTTAAATTCTATAGCAGCCAGGTTGAGATGCTGAGCAGTATACATTAAAAAATTAGGAGAAAGGGGGAACCTTGCTATAAATATTTTTGAAGTTTTTTGTTTAATTTTGACTATCTATGACCTTTCTCGCAAAAAGCTATTAATTATATTTATAAGATTATTTGTGTAGTTTAAATGCAAGTCCTTTCTACCATAAGTCGCCAAACACTTTTTTAATAAAAATAAAAATATCCCTGCTGTTTTTGTCCATGATGATTGTTAGAGGATGTGTTGTGGAGGTGTTAGTTTCGAATCAAAATTGAAAATTGAAAATATCTTTACCTATAGCATTGTCGAACTGCAAGAGTTATAGAACTGTAATTCTTGAGTTTACTGTGGTCAGAGTTAGTTTATAGAATTGTAATTATTACTTTGTTTTTCCATTCCTAATTATTATAGGCATGATTAAGACAAAAATTTTAAATTTTTATTGTGTTCATGAATTTTGTAGTTTTTTAGTACTTCATCATGAAATTTTCATGTATAATTTTGTCTTTACCATAGTAATTTATAAACTAGCAACTCAAATTTTCATTTAGCCACGCGTCTAAAGCAGTTGTTAAAAGATAAGCTCTACCGGGGATAAATTAAAGACTGGTCGTTGTGAGTTAACGACTTTCAAAGTTAGTGAATAGCACTTTTGCAGTTAGCAACTGACCTTTAAGTTAACCACTGATTCTAGTGGCCAACTTTAACGACTCATGTTAGTGAATTGGCCTGATTGTGTATCACGACTGTTTGTTTAGTTTTGGTTTTGTACCGATTTATACAAATATTTACGTTTGCTGTCCTGGTTTAGATGCGTTGAAGAAGTTTAACCTCTTCGAGAAAATGTAAGATTACTTTCTTAGTAGAGAATGCAAATTAAATCATATCTTTTGTTGCAACTTGCTTCTGTTCCCTTGACCCTCTTTTTGGTTCCTTCGGGAGACTGGTACATTGAGTTAATCTTTACAGGTAGTGTAACTGGTTTCTTACATTCTTCAATTGTTGTATTGCACTGCATTCAGTGGCGGCTGGTGGATGTTGGGCACACCCATATCTCAGTTATTAGACATGGGACCCACATCAAATTTATTATAGTTTATAATGACATTAAATAGACAAGTTCTGCGCAAGCAGAATTTAAATTAAAGTTTGCGAAAAAAAGTTAGTTTTTAAGTGCAACCCCCAGCCTCCTGCCCCTCCAAATTAAGATAATTCAAATTAAAGTGGTACAATATTTAATTCACTGAAGTTTATCGACAAATTTTAAATTTTATTAAAAAAATTCAAGAATTACAGGTTTTATACCATTTATAATTTTTATTATTTCTTTTACTAAATTTAAAAAAATCATAAATGGTATAAAACCTGTAATTCTTGAATTTTTTTAATAAAATTTGAAATTTGTCGATAAACTTCAGTGAATTAAATATTGTACCACTGAGTTTATATTGACATTATATAGACAAGTTCTGCGCAAGCAGAATTTAAATTAAAGTTTGCGAAAAAAGTTAGTTTTTAAGTGCAACCCCCAGCCTCCTGCCCATCCAAATTAAGATAATTCAAATTAAAGTGGTACAATATTTAATTCACTGAAGTTTATCGACAAATTTCAAATTTTATTAAAAAATTCAAGAATTACAGGTTTTATACCATTTATAATTTTTATTATTTCTTTTACTAAATTTAAAAAAATTATAAATAGTATAAAACCTGTAATTCTTGAATTTTTTTAATAAAATTTGAAATTTGCCGATAAACTTTAGTGAATTAAATATTGTACCACTTTAATTTGAATTATCTTCATTTGGAGGGGCAGGAGGCTGGGGGTTGCACTTAAAAACTAATTTTTTTCGCAAACTTTAATTTAAATTCGGCTTGCGCAGAACTTGTCTATTTAATGTCATTATAAACTTATATAAATTTGATGTGGGTCCCATGTCTAATAACTGAGATATGGGTGTGCCAAAATCCACCAACCGCCACTGACTGCACTACTGTATTAGCACTTTGGTGATTCTGTAAGACATCGGGAGACAGGTACCTTGATTTACCTGCACAGGTAGTGGAGATGGGCTCTAATTGCGCACTCTATACACCTAAAATTAACTAACAAACTTAACTCTACTGTGACCGATTTATTGTTACTTATAGGCTTTTATTACTTCCTTACTCTTTAGAAGCGGTTGCTTACGCGTCTGCATCTTATGATGTCTCAAGACGTACTAACCTTCTCAGTTTATTAATATAAAAATAATAAAATAAATTTATATTGATATTTAAATTTTTTTGTTTTGTTAATTGAGGCTTTTACTGCAAAAGCGGCCTAACTGAAAAAAACATTTTTATCTTAAAATATTAATACATTGTATTTTAATAAACAGAGTAGTAAACAGAGCTGGGAAAGTTACTTCTGAAATGTATCTAAGATACTTTAAACAAAATAACTTAGTTACCTCTGGTAACTAGATACTTTGAGTCAGGCCCGGCTCCAGACATTTTGGTACCCCGTGCAAAGATATTTTTGCCGCCCCTCATAGTTACCTACTTTTTAGTGCCCATTAATTAGGTAGGTACAATTTCTAAAAAAAAACTACTTAAATAATATTGTCCCCTTGATGCTACAATTGGATATCTGAAAAAACACATTTGTAAATAAATTATTCTAAAATTGGTACCTATGTAAGTATTTAGTAGAACTGGATTCGTAAAATTTCGAGTTATCCAGTTGTAGCATTAAGGGGAAGATAAAATTAATAAAAAAATTTAAAAAATTATTATTTAATAACAAATAAACAAAATATCATCGCATTCTAAAAAAACAGTAATATAATCTAATAATAATTATTTTATCTAACATTATAAAACTGACCAGTAGTAAAAATAAGAAAAATCTGTTTAAATTAAAATTAAATTGAAAATATCTAATTTAGAACCTATCTGTGGATAAAAGGCATAAGGGGATAAGTTAAAAAAAGCAATTTTTCAGTAGAGCCTTAAACATATTCGCATTAATTCAGGAAACATATTTATGGTTAGCGGGTATACCCTTTTGTTAGCCCATGTCCAGTAGCGTGCAAAGGTGATCGGGGGCCCCCCCGCAAATTTTGAGCTGGGGCCCCTTTGTCACTTATACCACCCAATGTCGTTCTCTGCGGGGCCCCCTAAGGTCGGGGGCCCCCCCGCACCGCGGGCCCTGCGGGGCCCGTCCTGCACGCCACTGCCCATGTCATATGCTAACAAAAGTGTATACCAGCTAAACATAAATATATTTCCTGAATTAATGCGAACACGTTAAAGGCACTATTGAAAAATTGCTTTTTTTGACTTATCCCCTTATGCCTTTTACCCATAGCTATATCGTATTGTATTGAATATCTTTTTGCCACCTTTCGATTTTTGCCGCCCTTCGAATTTGGCCGCCTCGTGCAGGGGCACGGCTGCACGTACCCTGGAGCCGGCCCTGCTTTGAGTTAAAAGTATCTTTAGTTACAAGATACTTTAAAAAGTATCTAAGATACTATCCGAAAGTATCTAAGATACTATATAAAAGTATCTAAGATACTTTTAAGTAACTAAGATACTTTTGAGTAACTAAGTTACTTTTAAGCAGGGACCCGGACCGGTATTTATTTGTGGACCGGAACTGTAACCGAACCCATAGAAATCGAACCAGAACCCTTTAAAATTAAAACGGTTTTTAAGGTTATTTTAGGTTTTTTCTTAATTTTCTTTGCAAAAATTAAAAAAAAAATTCTTTTGTTACAAAATCTATAAAATTAGTTTTTGCAAAAAAATATTTGAGCACGGGCTATAAATCTATAAATTATACACTTATAGCACAAGTATTGTTAGCATTCCTGCTGTGTTAATACCAATTTTAAATGTTGTGTAAATAATTATTGTAAATGTAAATTAAAATAACTTTATTGGAAAAAAAAAGATGTCAAATGTATATATATATATTATATAATACTAGGCAACACTGTAATTAATAAACCCCCACTACAAAATAGCCTACCGACTGCGCCATGAAGTAAATAATACCAGAGAAGGTTAAAGACTGATTTATTAAAATGACTAGTATGTAGGTACATAGGTATCTTGACTAGCATGGGTAGTAGGTGCATTTGTAGTGGGGATTTATTAATTAGTGTTGCCTAGTATTATGTATACTTATGACACCTGCAACATAAGGTAAGTAAGCGTTAAAAGGCTGTTTTCTGGTCACAAATTTTTACTTTCACCAACAAGATCAAACATAAAAGAAAAAAAATTAGAGGAACAATTATTTGTGAGAACAGAATTTTTGGAGAAAAACTTATTTTAAATATGAATTTTACAGTTTTTCAATCGCAAGATCAGAAGAAAAAGATAAAGTTAGCAAGCAGATCGAGAATAAAAGTAAAAAAAGAGAATAAAGAACCTAAAATTGAAGAACCTGATTTGAAAAAAAAGAATAGACAAAGTAATTTAAAAAATAAATTTTTCGTTTTATATTTTTACTTATTTTACATGGTAAAAAAATTGGAACCGAAAAAAACCGTATGGACCGAAAAGATTGGTCCGAACCGGGCAGAAATATTTTTTTTGGAACCGTAACTGAACCCGAAACGAAATTTGTCGTTTCTCTTGAACCGGACAGGAACCGTTATTTCATTTTGGTCCGGGTCCCTGCTTTTAAGTTTGAGTTACTGAGTAACTTAGTTACTTTTTAAGGTACAAGTTACAAGATACTTTTCCAAAGAAACTAAGTTAAAGATATTTTATGTCCAATATAAAAAGTATCTAAGTTACTTTTAAGTATCTTTTTTTCAAGATACTCCCAGCTCTGGTAGTAACTACTCTTTATATTAAAACACTCTTTATTGGGCTAGTTCACTTGAGCGCAAACTAGGGATATTTTTAGATAAAAACACAATTTTTTTTTAGATAGGCCGCTTTTGCAGTAAACGTAATAATTATAGTTTATGATGATTTAATGTTTTGCATTGGTAAAAACCCCTAGGGGTATAGGTAATGTGTGTTGCCGAGTTTTCTAAACCTTAAAGTCAAATAACTAAAGTAATTACATTAATTTAATGTAATGTTTTACAACAGTTTCTTTATAATGTTTTGTAGTACCCCTTCAAAATGATGTTACACAACAGCAGCAGCAGCAAACGCCCGCAGCTGTACAAGAACAACTCTACCACAAAATTACAAGCCAAGAGGCTGCCGTGAGGCAACAACAGCAGCAGCAGCCTTTATCACCCCAGGACATGCAGCAGCAGCAGTTCAAGATGCCGCAGAGCAGTTCAAACGCGCGAAAGACTAGTCAGGGCTACAAGTTTCCCCCGCCTACCTCGAATCCCAACATTAAGTTCACGACACAGGTACAGCAGCATTTGCACCATGGCGGCTACCCGCCACCGCACTCTCAATATTCTGCTTCTCCTTCGTCTTCCAACACTTCCGCTACTTCTTCTTCGCCTCATCAGATAGTAGTAAGTCTTACTAGATCTATAGTTTTCTAATAAATTGCTGATCAATACGCTAAAGAAGTATCAGCTGTCAAACGCTTAGGTTACAAACGAGTGTTTTTGATAATAAAGCCGGAAAATGTTAAAAAATATCGAAAAAAAAACCGTGGATCGATTGAGTTTTTACCGGTTTTCCAATAAACAGTGTTAATCTGAATGAAGAAATAAATTGCATACAGTCTCTGTAAATATAAATTGTACCTATTAGATACAATAAATACACATTTTAGTAGTGATTAAGGTGAAAAGTGTAAACATTTTAATTCAGTAAAAATCGTCAAACAAATAAGTCGTCTAAATTTAAACAGCATTTAGCATTATTAAAAGCGTTGATTAAGAAAGTCTCCACTCAACGGTAAAATACTATTATATTATGTATTATATATACTATTATGTTGCCATGAATTCGTAGGTATATTTTGTTGTTTTAAATGCAGTTGGCGTTTTTTAGAGAACTCAAATATAAAAATGTCCAAACTTAAATATAAATTATATTAGGTAAAGTTATCATTAGTTAATTCTGCACCATTGTTTGTATCATGATTCTGCACCAACAAATGTACTTACCGAATTGGATCCTTTGGCAAAACATGAAAATGCAACGATTTAGTTCTTGAATTTTATTTACAATTAAAAACAATAATTCACCATGATCCCTTTGAGAAAATACACACACTAACGTAACTATACAGGGTTTTTCATAATATATGCGCAGGACTTCAGGATGTGATAACTCATCCAAAAAGATTAAAAAAGTCGCTATTAACTTACGCTCTAAAATGCACAATTTTCGAGATACAGGGTGTTGAAATTTTTGAAAAAAAATCGTTTTTTTCGAATATCTCCGGAACCGTTTATCGTACAAAAAACAGCTTTTGTTAGCATTTTCTACCCAAAATAAGCTATGTTTTGTGCCAGAAAAAAATGTTATTCCTCATAATTGTTGGAGATTTTGAAGGGGTAGCGAGTGTTTTTCTCCTTAACTTCTACGCCCCTGAGAGGCCTATTCGAGAGGCCTATTCGAACCGCCAATGTTTTCTACACAAAAAAGGTACTCTTGGTCATAAGCTCTAAAGTTAACCGTTTTCGAGAAAAATCAACTTTTATGTTTAAAAACATGGTCAATTTGAAAAAAAAAAATTTTTTACTAATTAATCAAAATTTATTTTAACGTTAGAACAAGTAACAAAACCAAACCATAATTGCAAAATAAAAAAATGATGATGAAAATGAAAAGTTTTCTTTGCTAAATTCTCCAAACCGTAAAGGTAACGCATTTCGAACATTTCAGCATTTGTGTAAAAAATCATTTTTTTTTTTTAATTTTGCAATTATCGTTTGGTTTTGTTACTTTTTCTAACGTTAAAATAAATTTTGTTTAATTAGTAATAAAAAATTTTTTTAAAAAAATTGACCATGTTTTTAAACATAAAAGTTGATTTTTCTCGAAAACGGTCAACTTTAGAGCTTATGGCCAAGAGTACCTTTTTTGTGTAGAAAACATTGTCGGTTCGAATGGGCCTCTCAAAACCGTACTTTTTTCAGGGGCGTTGAAGTTGAGGAGAAAAACACCCGCTACCCCTTCAAAATCTCCACCAACTATGAGTAAAAAAAAAATTTTTCTGGCACAAAAAAACATGGCCTATTATGAGTAGAAAATGCTTACAAAAGCTGTTTTTTGTACGACAAACGGTTCCAGAGATAATAAAAAAAACGATTTTTTTACCCCTTCAAAATCTCCACCAACTATGAGTAAAAAAAATTTTTTCTGGCACAAAACATGGCTTATTATGAGTAGAAAATGCTTACAAAAGCTGTTTTTTGTACGACAAACGGTTCCAGAGATAATCGAAAAAAACGATTTTTTTTCTAAAATTTCAACACCCTGTATCTCGAAAATTGTGCATTCTAGAGGGTAACTTAATAGCGACTTTTTTCATCTTTTTGGATGAGCTATCACATCCTGAAGTCCTACGCATATATTATGAAACACCCTGTATAAGCATTTAAGCGTTGAGTTTCTTAATCAATGATATAAGGAATAATCAATACAAATCGAGTACTAAATTTTAATTTTTTCTTGCAACGTAAAACACAAATAACGTGCGCGATTTAGCTGTGCAATTGAACAAAATTTGTCGAGTAAGACTTCTGCCTTCCTCTCTTTAGTGAAAAAATATACCTATTTATTTAAAAATGATGTACAGTTCGTATGCTTTAAATGTATTGTTGAAAATTCTTAAATTCACGCAATGCTTTTGAAGTCCACCAGATGGCGCGCGCGTTGCGAAAACCCGATACTTTTTTAGCGTACATGGCCAGATTGTATGTAGGATTTATACTAACAACAAAAATTTGCTATTCCAAAAAATCTATACAGGTTGTAACATAAAGGTTGAGAATAAATTAAAATCTGGATTTCTTGGTGAAAGTAATATTTTTTCATATAAAGTTATGCCCTACAGTAGAAACCACGAATATATGAACGTGACTCATCAGGCACAATCGTATTGTATTCCAGTGCAGTGCTGTTCTAACGGGGGCATAAGTATTTGTACAAACACTTGAGTGTTGGTTGCTATACTACTGATATATTTGCTTTTAAAGTTAAATTTTAATAATTAATTAATATTTGTATTTACCGTTTTAATCCAAAAAAACGTGCAATAACAATTGCAATAAAGTCCAAAAAACGTGCAATAACAATTGCAATAAAAACCACTACCACTACAACGTTTAAAACGATTATTAATCCGTAAACAAACACCGTTTATTTAAAGTCCAAAAAACGTACAATAACAATTGCAATAAAGTCCAATAAACGTGCAATAACAATTGCAATAAAAACCACTAGCACTACAACGTTTAAAACGATTATTAATCCGTAAACATACAGCAGAAACACGATATGCAAAAACAAAGATCATATGACATATAAAAACAAATGGCCGACGGTAAAGTTGGTTGCCTTACTATGTAATAAAATAAAATAAATGCCTAAAACACGAACTCTACTGAATTCCAACAAAAATAAGTAACAAGCTAGGACACGCGTCATATGTCCATCTTTGTCCAACACCTAGGCAGTTTTACATCACAGATGGCGCATTTTAGACCGGATGCTTAAAAACCTACGTGTGAGTACATTTACCGCTGCATCGAATGTACAAGACAAGTAAAACATTAATGCTAGCATGTCTGAGATATGTTCGGCATCCGATGAGTCACGTTCATACTTAGTTGGTGGTTTCTACTGTACATGTTTTCGTTTAATAACTTAAACACTAAACAAGGTGCGTTAACATGACTTTCAAAATGGCACTTTCTAGTGGCGCTATATACAGGGTGAGTCATTTAACTTGAAACTGAAATATCTCAGTTAGTATGCGTTTTACAAAAAAATGTTTAAAATAAAAATTAAATGATTCGAGGGGGGAAACCAATTAGTACTAAAATTGGTTCTCATACTCTCCTCCCTACAGGAGGTATCTTTAAAATTTCCAATGGAACACCCTATTTTTTATTGCAGATTCGGATCATTCGACTAAAAATAGGTAGATTTTGTCTAAAACATTTTTTCATATTTGTAATAGATGGCGCTGTAATGAAAAAAATCAATTTTGTTCGATTTTTCTTCTGTATACGATTCTCCAATAATTTTTGAATAAAATACTTGGTTTTGTTTTTTAAATTTATTTATTAATTTTTTGAATTTTTATTAAAGTAGTATTAAATATTTGCTCGAAGATTTTTTTTTTTGGTTGAACACTCCCGTTTGTAGTAAACTGCTTGACTGTACGGTGATCGAATTTTTTCCGGAAAACGCTGAGCGTAGATATTAACAGTATCATCAAGATTTCTGCCTGCTTCTCCATAAATCAAAATCAATCATTTCTATTTTTTCTTCTACTGTTAAAAAATCCATTATGAATAACTGCTTAATGAAATGTTTGCAAATTAATCTTTGAACTAAATTGATTAAATAATGCTAAACTATGTATTAATAGTTTCTTTATAACTCAATAATAATTATATAACTAAATACCATTTCTTTATACCTCAATTAGGATTAAATTAATTAATTGACAAAATAATGTTTTTTTTTACCTTAAATGAGGTATTTTTATTAAAAATAGTACAATAATCCTTTAAATTAAAGGATTTAATGCTGGCTGGTAAAAAGTGACCATGGTGCGCAATTGATAATTATCACCGAATGAAATAATGTATAAAACTTAAATCAAAGGAAACTTAAATATAAAATCGTGGGTACATAAAAAAATCAGATTTTATTTAATAAGATAATTATTACCAAAAAAGTGATATTTTTATAGAAAAATTATTGCAGAATCGTATAAGAAGAAAAATCGAACAAAATTGATTTTTTTCATTACAACGCCATCTATTGCAACTATGAAAAAATGTTTTAGACAAAATCTACTTATTTTTAGTCGAATGATCCGAATCTGCAATTAAAAATAGGGACATTTTAAAGTTACTCCCTGTCCCCCTATAAGAAGGAGAGTATGAGGACCAACTTTAGTACTGATTGATTTTCCTCCTCGAATCATTTCATTTTAATTTTAAACATTTTTTAACTGAGATATTTCAGTTTCAAGTTAAATGACTCACCCTGTATAAATGGGTACCTGCGTTGGCCATTAATTGATGTTCTGTAAAATTTTCATGGCATTCAGATTATTAAATATTAAGTTATTAATCCTAAGATGACAGTATGTTTGTGGAATTGCAAATAGAAACAGAGACAATATTAACTTATGTTTTAAACTTGGTAAAACCTTAACCAAAACGTTTTAATTGTTGAAATTTAGATACTTAAAGTATCTAAGATACTTTATCTTAGATACTTTTTATATTGGACAGAAAGTATCTTAGTTACATTGGAAAAGTATCTTGTAACTTGTATCTTAAAAAGTATGGAAAGTAACTAAGATACATTAATT